TGGTTCCACAGAATCGAATTGAATATAATATTAATATAGACCCTTTCAGAATTACTGTTTGCATTCTTGTTTGCAATCAAACCAAAATTGTAAATATTAGTTTTACAAAACATTAATTGCACAAATTGCAATCTTAATTTGCATTATCTATAAAGTACTGACATATTTGTGCCAGCACCTGCTTGTTTGAGGAGACTCTGGGTTTGTTGTCAAACCTCTCCATCAGAACTTGCTTCAACCCTTCTTCCTTGCCTCTCTGGTACACCACTTGTAGGTGATGGAGACCTAAACCCAAGCTTGCACACTTAATGGCCATTGAGGCTGAAATGTACTTCTCTCTAACTAATGGCTGCAGGGTATTAACCAGAAGATTCTTTTCTTTTAGGAGCTTCTGATAGGATGCCACCCATGAAACTTTGAAGCTGTGCTTTTGTAGCAGTTTGACATTTAGAAACTTGTTCACCAGCTGGTAGAGTATTTGCACATCTGCAAGAGCATTATGAGCTTCGTAGGATTTATACAGAAGATCTTGTACAAGGTTTTCCTGGCTATGGGATTTCCTTTCAGGAAGCAATTCCCTGAATGCTGGAAGAGAGTCTATAAAGCCAGAAACAGTTTTAGCTAAGTCATCCATGACTCCATTTTTCTCTGCTGCTTGCACCAAGAACCTGGCATCAAAGGATTTGTAATTGTGTGCAACTAAAATGCAAGGCATTCTTGATTTGAGCCACTCAATTAATTTCTTCAGGGTTACATCAATTGCAACAGCATCAGTGATTGGCTTCCCATCATAAAACAGCATTCCTCTTTGGAAGGTGAGTTTGTTCACATCAGATGCTTCTGGTGATATTACATGACAAGGCTTGACATAAATAGAGAACTCATCTTTACCATCTGTTGCTGCAGTTTGTAGGATTTCAGGATCATTACCTGATGTCAACAAAGATAAACAAATTTTAAGATGTTGTAATCCAATTATTACTTTACAAAGATATTACAAGGAAAAATGTGATAAAAAAGCTTAGTGCATCTATGCAGGTTATATCTAAAATAAAAATAGAAGGAGTGATTACTGAATACCTGTCCTGCTAATTCGCATCTCATCTATTTTCTTTAGGAACAAGGCATGATAAATCAAAGGAATCTATGTGATGCAAATTAGCAGGATGAGTCTTCAGCAATCTAGCAAAATAAGAAAACAATTCCATGATTAAATATAATTATTCTCTAATGTGCAATTCATAAATACCCTGCTAAGACAAACATGGCTATATTCACTTTGTTACTTTTTTACTGAACTCCATCCTGCAAAGCTAATTACCCCTTCCAGATGTTTCCAAATCAAATATGATTTGATGGTAGTCTTTGTTTAATGATACTTTCTCAATCTTTGAGGCTGCAAGTGGTGCTGGAATTTCCTGAGCGGCATTGTGTCCATCGAAGCACATTCCAGAACTATATTGTCGTCCTTCTCTGTTCTCGAGCTGTTTTGTCTTTTTCAACCACTTCTCTTTCTTCTCAATTCTTTTCTTCTTGTGCTCTCTTGTTTTCTGTTTCTCTTTCAAATTCAGAATTCTCTTTTCCATTTTCTTTGCAAACTTTAAATAATTGGAATCTGGAGACAGTTGTGTCTTCATAAAAGCCTAAAAGAAATTCACCAGTCTTAGGGAAAACAATATTCTAAGTTATAGTATAGTGTTTTTTAATTTTTTTTTGGTGACTAATGATATGCAATAGGTACTGGTAGTATAATACTGGACACATTGGATAATGAGTCATGTTCAATGGATCTCACAAATTGGGAAGTGTACAAAATGCTCATGTTATTATATCTGCTCACCTGAGAAACATAAGAATGCCCTAAGTTCTTTTGGCCAACAGCACACGCAACACGGAAGTCATTGCTTTTGCTAGATCCGTAGTGCCTGATCTTTGGAACTTTGCTTCCTATAGTGTTGTTGAGTGCTTCATTTGCCTGGCTCGACCCAAGGGGAGCTAGCTTCTTGGCATTTGAAGCATAAGCCCAAATTGAAGAAGCAAATGGTTTTTATTTACTAAAATTTGGTATCTCGTAAAGCTTGTGAAACTAAGAAAGAGGTTGATAGTCCCCTAACACTTATAGCTTTATCCCTTGAAGTTATTATTTAGAATACAATCATAAGCACTAACACTACTTTCTTAGAGTTGTGTTTCTCTACTACATGTAAAATGGTGGGAATTGGGAATTTGTGAGGAGCAAGCTGTGCCACCATACATGTACACTGTACTTACTTCTATGATCTTTTCCAGGGACTGCCTCAAGCTTTTGTCTGTCAGATCCTTGCCATGGGGAAGGCCTCTGTGTTTGTAGGATGCAGGATTTTTCAAGTAGCCACACCAGTTGCCACAGGAAGAATGGTCACCATAAGCATGGGGCACGATAGACTTCAGACCATTTCGCACACCTTCTTTATCATCCTTATTCTGCTTTAGTGCATAACCAAAGCATCACTGGAAATACCGTATCACCATATCTGTCAGGCATTTGTTTTGGGTCTTGATGCTGTATAGTGAGCTACCAAAGGATCTTTTAGTATGGACTACATCTGACCATTTTTCAACCTCGTCCTCAACATTTTTCCTCACTCTGCTTATGGTGGATGAATCATCATCCCCAACAAGAACAGATACAACTGCATTTTTTTCTCCTCAACTGTTAAGCAGAGTAAAACCACAAAAATAACATTTTGTGACATAAAAAGCAAGGGCATTCAAACTACACCAAGGCATTATCTTAAAGTATTTTCTTTTCTGCATTTTTTACATGCCCATATTAAAAAAATAGAGGTGCATTTTCATGTTTGCTTTCTTGTCAAATTTTCAGCCATTATTACCAAGGGTGTGAGGTACTGTAAGACTCTCCACTGTTCATGGTTCAAGTGTCATTACTGTAACACTGATATCATAAGAAAAGATTCCAAAAGTCTCTCTTTGGAGCAACAACACTGTGAATTCAACATGTTAACGACTATAATTATAATTATTATTTTATTTTTATCATTACATACCTGGTTAGTAATTACCTTTTGACTAGATCAACACAAAGCTCAGCTTCCATGGCTTTTGACGAGCCTTCCCAGTTGAGCCTGCAGTCGTGTATGCAAGGCTTTTTTGATTGTCTGCTGGCAGTTTCACATGTTGCACACCTTTACAAAAGACATTATGGGTAAAGGTCCTGGGTAACACTTTCAAGAGGAGGCAAATATGGGTGCTGTAATATGTTGAATGATTCTGTACTTTTTGTGGTCAAATTGGAAAAAAAAACATTGCTCTTGTTGTTTACAACAAGGTACTAGTGGTCAAAATATATGTATATACATTACCTTTTTGACCTTGAACCCATAGCAAATCACCTTGCCAGTTTTTAGGCCAACCATGGAGCCAACACCTAATGGTGAAAATAAGGATATATTTTATTTTATTAACTTTGACCATTGGCCGACACCAAAACTGTCAGTGAGCTAAAGAACAATTCACAGAAAAAATAACAGCCATTTATGAAAATGCATATCCAAATTCCAATTCTTTCAGATGTAGAATTTGCAGTGTGCCTGTCAGGCTGTTGTGGGCTTTTCCTCTTTTTTGCCATCCCATGTCAAATGACGCTCCTTTCGCCACATTTTCCTTTTCACTATCCTCTTTCCACAGGTTTCTTTCGCTTTCTAAACTTTCCAGACATGATTCCTTTGCCAACTTTTCAATTTGGGGCCCTACTTCCCTGTCGCGAGCCATCAGCGTGGACTCTCCAAGTGATGGTACTTTGATAGATGACAACAACTCGTTTACGTGGGTAGGACCTATGCCTACGTGTACCATCCCTATAAATATGTCGATTCAACTCATTAAAAAATAGGCTAGATGTTAAATGGATGCTTTAATTGTGGAAAACAATATTTTTAGCAACATTAAATGTAAACAAACCTGCGGCAAGCTTCGAGTTTACATCAAAGATTGGTCTCCCTCGCGTTGTTCCGGTTCAACGGTGGGTCTTATTTGTTCGACAGATATTTGTCTCTCCACACTCGGAATTTGAACAGCGCATGTATAGTAGTGATCCTAGCCCAGACACTGTTTCTTTTATGCGTTTGGAGAGCCGTAGAGCTGCCCCACAGGCTTCACAGCCCCCGTCCAAAGCCTCAGCGAGGACAACTCGACGGCCGCGAAGTGGAAATCCACTGCAGACTTCCAGATCACGCACATTTTTTTCGTTTTCTTGTGTTTTGAGAGCAGACCAGGAAGTTGTCAGCCGATTTGCGGCATTCTTATTACGGATAAAAGCTTTCGCTCTGCAAAAGCGGCCCTTGTCCGTTCTTTTCACGCTAGCGGGAAGAACGGCTGCCATCTTGGATATCGCAATTAATGTTATGCGCAGAAAAGGTTGCGCAGTGCAAAACAAGGGAATCACCTTAATAGAGATTAATATTCACCGTTCAAGGAAGACCAGGAAGCGCTGGAAACACATCATAGTATGAATGTAGGAATGCATGAATGCAACTTATGTTTCACCCTCCCCTTTGACTCGTGGGATTAGTGTGTTTGTAGAGGCTGATACGGGTATATATAGTTTTTTTTTTGGTGGTGGAGGGGGGGGGGGCGGGCGGGCGACTGTAAGACCATTTTTTTCTTTTTGGAAGGGGAGGGAGCCTTCTGCGATAGAGGGACAGACTACAGATATCTTACGTAAAATCAGAGTCGGTAACATGCCCATACACCGAGCCGTTCTGTAGCAATACGCTAAGGTATTTTGTCAGGTGAATTTATCACGTTTACCGGGGAGGTGTCCAATTCCATCGGTGCAAAAAACATATGATATAAAAAGGTAAAAATTCAATCTTCTCTATAGCCCTCTAATCATGCAATAGCGTTGAACTAGCTTACTTCAAAAGCGAAATGCGAACCTAAAATTTTACGCAGAGCTGGTTTTCATCCTACAAAGCCTAATTTAGCTATTGATGAAACCCCCAAAATATTTCGGAACAAGCTTAAGTTCAAGTCTGGCACGGTTAACAAACATTAATGCATTGAAATGATGGCAGGAACAATTTACTTAATTCTTTTTAAGAACCTAAAACATCTAACGTAGCAATTACACTTTTTCTTCGATTCATAAAAGTTATAGAATTTGCGACCTCCATTGAAAAAGAGACCCTACGATGAACGTACGGGTACGGTGAATTGCAAAATCATTGACCCAGAGTACAATATTCAAAGGTTACACTAAAGCCTAAAACGAAGCAAATAATGTTGTAACAATCCTTCGAGCATCCTAATGACAACTACAATGTTTAACTAGCATCTGTTTTGGTCACTGTAGAAGGTGCTCCTAGACTGATACATTACAAGTCAAACAAATCGGTTCTATGGTTTGTAGGATACCGTAAATCCAAATAAAGTCAAGAGGTTCCTAAACTTGTGTCCAGCAGTAGCACCCTGTGATACTGGTCACTTCGTGCACAGATCACAATCATATGAACAAGAACTCGCCAAATTAAAAAATCTGATGATAGCTTTAAAATTACAAATAACTATAGATTAAAGACTCACTATAAAGACATGTCTTCTTAAACTCATGGACAATTCATACCGACATACGTTTTCCCAGTTTTATAAAAAAAAAGGAGTTAAACGACGCAAATGTATATATATGCATAAAAAATTACGCGATTACAAATCACGAACTTTAAAAAGTAAGTTTCAGTTTCTTAATCTGGGGGTTGTCTTCAAATGATAATAACCATCTGTTCTGAATAGTTGTGCCGTCTTCTTTAAACTCTGACCAGAAAAATCTCAAATTTAGTCTCAAAACTGTAATTTAGTTTTACAGTGAGAAAAACTAGTCATTGACCAGTTGCACTTAACTTCTATCTTGAGTGACTAATAATCGGTAATAATACTTAATAATGTACACGAAAAAATTACGCGCTTCTGATTGGCTGAAAACGAGTGCATTCTCATGTAACACGAGTGCAAATTACATATAGCGCGCGCACGCTTTCAGAATTTTTTCTATCTTGACTTTCTGTGATGTTTTGTCATCTACATTATTGGCAAGTAATAACATGATTTCTCTTGCAGTTTGGTGTAATAAACACTTGTAAATTATTCAGACTACAAATTTCACTTGCCCTACGGGCTCATGCAATTTTGTTGTCTTTGAAAAATTTACTCGTGCTTATTTGGACCAAATCGCAGTCGAGATCATGTTATCACCTATACTAATTTCACTTTGACAGCGATGTTGAAAAAGCTTCCAGATAAAAAAAAGCTGACATCCCTTGGAATATAGGTAGAAACAACAACTATACACATAGAAAGACTAAAGAATAGGACTGACCAGTCCATTTGCCCTTCCAGCGCCTGGCAGGGCTGTTCGCAAATTATCTGGTATGGTGCGTGTCCGTGAAAGCAAGAGGAAGACATTTCTCTCCGTATGGCTCCTGATTTACAGTGCGCTCGTCTCTCGTTTTTAACGCTGACCAAGCAGTACCGACTGCCCGGAGGGCTCCCACGACAGAGTCTGCAATTCATCCATCACTTCACTGAAGAACAAAAATATGCCAAGAATAACAAGTGAGTAAACTAGATCATCTTACAACAATGAAACGTAAAAAAAGGGGCGTGGAGTACCCTCGCTATGCTTTCGGTAAATTCAAGCTTGTAAAGAAAAAAAACAGACTTAAGGGCATAAGACAATGCCATGATAGAAATGATTCAAAGAGCGAACACACCAACGCTCTTAACATTGTCTTCAAAGTCCAGCCAACATCATTTATAGCAAGCACCCACTCGCTAAGTTCTGTTTCTTATCCAGAATGTGTTATCATAATGAGAAATTTCGAAAATCTGACGCAGACAAGAGCTCTTTTTAACCCCCTTTTATATTACTGACCTCTTATTCATACGGCTGCTTCTTTGGTACCCTGCAACAAACTTAAAGATATCAATTGCAGCAGATAAATAAATTTATTTTCGCTTACTTTACTCTCACTGCCCACGCATCAAAATGCTTTCATTAAAAAGGAATTTGATACAATAAGCCTTCCTTACTAAGTAAACTATGATTGGATTGCTGAAGGAAAACTATTCCCAGTGTTGAATCTAAGTATCATTGTCCTTGATTCACAGTCACCACTAGTGCAGTGAAGAGAATAAACACAGTCTGCAAATGTTTACATAATTTTTCAGGAAACAATTATCATATTAAGATACGCTTCCTCTTTTGGTCTTCAGTGGTGGGCGGTTTTGGTTTCACACTAATAACGATTTGGGTCTACTTGAAAGTGATAAGGAAAACTAACTCTTCTTCTATTCGTAACTCCGGGGATCACCCGGCCACGACACTTGCACGTACGTATGCGACAGCAGGCTCCATCCTTTCGGAGTTATCGAGAAACAAAGTACTAAGCGTTTCCTTTACTAGGTGTTCCGTTTACTAGGCTTTTAAGAGAAGATATGAAAGATCGACGAATGTAAGTAACCACCCAACTTTTATAAGCAGGAAAAGTAATTAATCATCTTCAACATCAAACTTACATTTTGTTCTTCTTATCTTCACTTGGAAGGTTGTTTACCAGGATAATTCTGAAATTTTTCTCAGAGCCAACGCTTACGTCAATTGCGATCGCATGGTTCAGCAGACAGGTTGTGAGACAATACGTTCTGAACACCCTCTCCATCACACAGAGTAGGTCACCGCTCCTGATATTGAACAGACGAAGACCGAAATGCGAAAAGGTATCCTCGAGATCAATGACACATTCCTCATTACTGACGAACTTACAGTCAAAAAACGAAGCACCTCTACAGAAAATGGAATGTTCTTTCCCGGAAGAGGCTTCGAGAACAACTACCTCCTGATCATCACAATCATTGCGTTTCGCCGAGAATAACACAAATTCCTCTTTTGGCGAGAACATTCCTGGGAGACTGTAGCCACACAACAGAGAATTGTGCCATTTCTTTTCCCAGATAACACCTTCACTATTCGACAGCTGAATGGATTTTCGGTCTGTGGACAGTACTTCGTATTTGCTGTTACATGCGATGGCCTCTCTCCCCAACGTTTCAATGGTTGATTCATATTGGTCACGGCAAAATGGGATGCGTGCCTTTACGCCTGTGCTTCTCGAATCCAGGATAATCACCTCTTTATCATCAGCCCCTACACATGCCACGTGATCTCTTGACAGGGGAATCACATTGGTAATGTTGCACACCCGTGACCAAGAACGGATACACCTAGACAACTCAAAATCCCACAGTTCGGGACAACCACAGTCTTTGGCGATAATTACGCCTTCCGCTACAGGCGTAAGGCACTCCCTTCTTGTCCTTCCAATCATCATTCTTGCTGTGAGGTTTTCCGATCGAACGTTCCAAGCCATTACTTCTCTTTCAGCTAGAACTTCGGAAATCACATAGAGAATCTCTCCATTTAGCGAAAACGCCATCTTTACGGCTCGAGATAAGTGTGGGTGATGTGCTGAATTGGTGAAGCTACTTATCTCATCCACACTGAACATTGCCACTGAACGACCTTCAGGAAAGCGCCTCAAGACAATTTTCTCAGAAAGGACAAAGATAAATGCTCGTTCTACAAGAAATGAGTGACCAAAGACGTTCTCATAGATGCAACAAAGAGGATCTCCTAACAAAAATCCAGCTTTACTGGCAGTTTCATACTCCCAGGGTTTGTATGAAACGTTACAAGAAACGCGAAGCGAAAATGTGTCTTGGTTGATACGTTTAACGTTCAGCCGATAAACTTCATGACGTCGTGCATGACTTTCGTGCCAACAGAAGAGGAACGTATGGTCAGGGGAGAACTTGATTATCCCACAAACGCTTGGAATGTTTATTTCTGCCAGTATTCTAAACTTGTTTATTGTGTCAATCAAACAAATCGAGCCCGACGTATGAGAAACTGCCAGCATCCTCCCATCAAGAGAACAAGCAAACGATAAAACATCTTCATCCCTGTGAATACTAGCAACCTGAGAACCATTTTCAAGACTCCACAATATAATACACTTGGCATCATCCGGAAAATTTGTTACAAACCGGACCTCGCCGTTTGCATTCAACAGTGAACAAACAGTGAATATGCAGTTACTTCTTGGGAAAAGTGGTTTCAGATCTCCATCAAACGAATAGGCTGAACTAAGGATTCCTGGTAGGACAACTTCCTTTGAAGGATGAAAAACAACCGAACGGTAGCACGAGAAGACATCAGAGGAAGGCGACGTTCGATACGTGAAATTGCCATGTGAATATTGTTTCTTTATTTTGCAAGGACGTCTCCATTCTAATTTGCCGGTGCGAAGCGACCACAGGTAAAGCATCTCATCTTTACACTCACACACCATGTAGTCAGACTGCGGCGACACATCAAAACAGACCACTGCAGCTGAACATGGAAAAACGGCTTTGGGAGCCTCCTCATGAACATCCTTGTATATGAACTCCATGAAAGTAATATGGGGAAATTTCTTACTCAGAAGACTTGATGCCTGGGAAGAAAGTCTCGCTTCTCCCTCATTCAACACAGTTTGCAGAAATGCACCAGGATCTTTAAAACTTTCGTGGTATTTTCTCAACAAAAGCAATAAGTCATCCAAGAGAGTTTTACTTTCTTCAGGGAGCACTGACAAAATTTCCTGTTTCTGACAGCGTACAATGTCCTCGGCTGCCGTTGCGTGATCCACACAGAGTTTAGCGTAAACGAGTTCCAAGTCCAAGACAAACAACCTCACCAATTCTTTACTATTCGGTGACCTTGCATCCTCAAGCATGTGTGTGACACCGTGTTGTAGGGAATATGTTTCAGTGTCGCAAAATTTTCGATCAATAACACCACGATCCTTAATTTGATCGAGTTCCTCACGGCAAAGTTTAGAAAGGATACTATGACCTTCATTCAAATCTAATGCAAAGTTGTGCTGTCCATACGAGGAAGTAACGGTCAACCAGTCCTTGACTGATTTGTGGAAGAACTTGACCCTTTCATCCTCAACCAGCAGAAGAGTTGAAATGCAAGAAATTGCCCTTTTAACTTTCCGTTTGCCAACTGATGTCCTGGTGTCCAACTGGAACAATTTTGCGACAAAAGCAACTGGTAATGGCTCTCTCGAAGCTGTAACTGCACTTAGGAAAGCAAAAAAATGCTCGTCCTTAATCTCCAGTTCCTCTACAAGTTCTTGCTCTAAACGTTTGAAATAGGACTCGTAAACGGATGAAATACCAGATGGCAAATCGTTCTCCAGCAGCTCTGGGGTAAGAAAGGCCTCGATTTTGCCAACAAATTCAACTAAAAAGTAAGAAAATAACATTACTCCTTCTGACTTTTCCACAAGATAATTCAAAACATCCTCTTGGATTTCGAACTGCCCAAATTGGCTTAGACGCCTGTTAAGATAGTGACGGATGTCTTGTAAGTTCTCATTATCACTTGGTTCAAGCTGCAGAGGCTCCAAAACCCTGAGACTATCGGCGATGTTGATTTCAGGACGGGTTGTCACAAGAAATCGAAACCACGCTGGGAGTTTGCAAAAGTTACTAGCAATCACATCAAGCAATTCGTTGCGGCCTTGGTATTCACTCTCGTCCAAGCCATCTATTACCATTAGGATGTTCCTTCCTGGGTCTTTGACTTTAGAAAGAGGTTCCATGAGCAGCAATTCGAAGAGATCACTAACTTCCATGCTGTTTAGATCTCCTCCTAAATTTCTTGACAGTACTTCCAGAATGGCACTCTTGTATTCTGGAATAATGTCAGACAGCTGACAAGCCAAAGACTGAAGCATCACTCTGGGATTCCTGCGGCGTGCCTTGCCATGTTGACAAAAATGGCTTCCAGATAGTCTGTTAGCTCTTAGCATTCTTTTGCAGACAACTGCAGAGATCACAGATTTTCCCATACCAGCCTGTCCGCTGATTACCAAAACACGATTCTCAGAACTTCTGTCATCCATCCAATCCTGCACCTTTGTCAAAATAGACAAACGAGTTCCTTCCTGATATCGTTCTGAATGATATTCGACATCTTTTCCTGTGTCAATCTTTGCGAGTGCTTTGAGAATTTCATCCTCTTTGTCCCTTCTTCTACGATCCTCTACGCTCTCGACGGCCTGCCTAGTTTTGATAACTGTATTTTTCATTTCTTCCAGCTCCTTGGAGTCCTCAAGACGAGCCTGACGCAATTCTTCGATACTTTGCGCTATTTCAGTCTGAGATTGTGAGATATCCATCAGTTGCGACTTGGTATCCTCTTCACTTTTCGCCCATTCTCTTAATATTTCAATATAGTCTTCCTCTGCAGAGTGCTCTAGTTTTAATCTCTCTATGGCTACCTTATCCAAGCCAAGGGCAACAAGGACAGTACTAATATTCTGCCATAAAACAGAGAAAGTGGGCGTGTCAATAGCAGTAGTGGACACGTGACCATACAACTCATTGCGGAAGACCTTTACCCGAGCAAGGTTTGCCTCAAGGGAGTTGTCACTCGGAGATGGCATGGAATGCCACCCCGAGAGAGGAGGGGAAAGTCCGCAAATGTTGGTGAGAAGAAGAAACAAGAGAGTGATGTCAAACGTGTTTGAGTCTGGTGTTACTCCACCAGATGGAAACAGTTTGTCCCACTGAGCTGCACGCAGGACCTTTTTCTTTAAGAGGGATTGAAGGGTTGAGTAGTTGGCATTGAGACTAGTAGAAAGATTAGCCGGTGGGTGATAGCCATCAAAAATGGTCCTCAGAACTGTTGTTCCACCATCAATGAGAAGTCTGCTGAGCTTAGCTCCATTTGTTTTCTCCATAGAGCTTGCTAGTGGCGAAACAGGAGCAGTTGCCATTTTGTCAGAAATTTGTTGCAGGTCAGTGATCTTCAAGAATATACTGTTTGGTAGAGAAAGAATAGAATCACTTGCTGTGTTAACGAAAATGTTTAGGATTCGGCAAACACAAAATTAACTACTTTGGCGGCTGATACTTTCCGACTTTGTTTTTTTTAATCCCTTCTTTATCTTAAAAATTGTTCTGTAGATACCTTAAGTATTACATGCATAATGAGCGATTCTCCCAATGTTAAGGCTTTCATCTCACTTATGGATCCTGGTTCTATGTATGAGAAAGATGGACGGCCAACTCGAACAAAAATGAAAAATAACAAGCCTAATCCCGCATCTATGATGGCGCTAACAACCCAAACGTTTTGGTTTGCAAAATTTAAGACTTTTTCATAGTTTTCCCATAGCTTTTTTTCTCAAAATGTTTCACTGATTTAAAAAGAGCTCAAAGTATGGTGAAAGTGTGCTATAATCTGTGACTGAGACTAAGGTTTAATTCATTTTAATTTCACGAAATGTTTGTTTGAGATTTAGCACAAGTTTTCATTTTATCCAGCTTCTTAGGAACTTTACCAAGGATAGGAAAGGTTAAAGATAGTTGTATTTGATAGAGAATGCATACGACAACAACGAGAGTCTTAAGCTAAAGACCTCAGGATGCAAAAACTTCATAAGCCTCTTATCAGAAAGCATTTGAATAATTGGATTTACAATTTCCCTTTTTTCCCCAATATACTTAATTCCAATAAAGCTGTCCAAGAAAAAGGCAAAAACAAAAGAGGAAAAAGAAAAATGGGAATTAATTAGCATATATTACTACCCCCTCAATTTTTTTTTCCTAACAGCTGAACAATTGTCACACAGTTTTCACTGAAAATCATAGGGCTCTTGGAGCCAGCTCATTCATGTTATGGCTTAAGTTTGTATTAATTTCTTGGACTTGTGTAATACAGGTACAGTTGAATTCTGTTTATGTGAACTTTTAAGACTTCTGGAATAAATTTTGTTTTATTTTTGAGCATTAGGGAGAGGTCATTAGGCAGACAGTGTCCTTTTCGTTGGTGTGTGTGCGTTTGTGGGGTGGAGGATGGGCTGGAGGATGGGCTGGGTGGGCATAGTCAGGCTTCAGATTTTGCTCTAGCAAAAAAAATATCAGTAACCCTCATCCTTCACGATCATTTGCACTATTGTGAAATATTCCTTGCCCGTTCCTGGTATCTTTTGTTTTTAACAAAACGTCCACAATCGTTCTTAATAGAATTTCAATCCTTCATATAGTCTGATTTTCACATATTAATATTTGCGTAGTCACCTAACAGATGAGAGATAAAACCACCGGTAAAGTAAACAAATGGCCACTCACGAAAGCAACGCATCGCTTTTCCTTATAAAAATTCGCAAGTTCCTCATGTAAGCCATCAACAACATGAGGCACATATGTCAAAATTAGTATGTTTGCACCCCTGAACGTTGAAAATATATCAAGTCAAAGGAACAGTTTTGGTCTCGGTCCGCATTTTTGTCCACAAAATTAACACATATCGGTTAAAAAGATGAAACGTACGGACCACGTGCAAAGCTGTCAACTGTTTCTCGAAAAATTGCGCATGTTAAATATTCAATAGTGACATCTCATGTAAGTCTTCATCTACATTTATTTAGTTGGTAAATTCTCCACAGACATCCCACCAACCAATTGGTAGTGCTGTTTTTGTTCGAGCGAGCTTCAAGTCCAGACCGAAATATTGGAGCTCGAAAAAAAATTTAGCAAGACTATCTTGGCCGCTATGATTGATGCGTGGACTGTATGTTGAAGAGCTCCCGAGGAAAAGCACAATGATCGAGCAATGGTTACTTTATACCAAGTGAAGACGAACAAAAATGCACGGCTTACCAATATTGCTGTCCCTGATGCTATTTTGCGTGGTCACAGCGTGTGTTGCAATGAACCCACAAGGGTCCCCTAGGTGTGGACATTTCGGCTTCTCGATTCAAGTTGCATTTTTAGAAGTTCGGAAATGTGATTTGAGGTTATTATTTTTATTAAATCATAAAGGCATTTTATTTCTTTCCATTGAGTTTCTGAGCTTCATCGAAATTAATTTTGACTTTCATTAAGTGGGGAGGGGCAGCGTGCAATACTACTTCCGTGCACGATCCACAATGCAAGTTCCGTCCACGGAATACAACTTCCGTCCACATCTGCTCCACCACAATACCTCATTCATTGCTTTCAGCATGAATGAGCTAAAAGCTAGCAAACTTTTTATGAGTATCAGTTGTTGTTAAGAGATTTCAAGCGACTCGACTCCAGACAATTTCCAAAATCTTTGTGCTAATGAGTATGCCTTATGTTGTAAGTATGTACTGATTAATTCGAATTTTGATCTTTCGTTTATTATTTTTCCTATGACAACTGTAACTAGGTGTTTACATGTGTCTTCTGTAGCTGATCATTCTTGCTGGGCTAACAGCTTGCCAATAGTTTTATATCTGTCAGCAAAAGAGACTTATTGACGAAAAAAGGTATACCTGCAGCTCTGCATAATACAGGGTGAATGACACTGGCTTACCTAATTCGAATTCCATTTCTTGACTTAAATGTTCATCATTCAGCGTTTCGACAGTAGATTCACACAAAATCACTTCTGGAATCTTCTGGATTTCACACTTTGTGACCTGCATGACCAATGATATTTGCATTGAGCAATGGGAAAATACTGATTGAAAATATATTCAAATTCCTGGCAGACATAAGAAGAATCCTTCCAAATTATAAAAGTCACCGTATTTCCATTCCTAATTAAACCCTGAGGAGAAAGGGCACATAGCACATAGAAAATATAAACACTAATTTGACCCACTTCTGCAAAACATCTCAATATCTCCTCAACAAGAAATTTTAAAAACAACACACCAGTAACCTATCAAAATCTCTCCTCCCTTTTATTCAAGGATCAAAGGGGGTGCAAGAGATGTGTAATATTCTGGCTGAAGGTATGCATAGCTATACAATTCTCAGTTTCCCCCCCCCCCCTTATTATTCAGATATTCAGAGAGTGGATAAATTCATTCAATAGATGTATCACTACATCAGTAGACGTTTTGTCAACATCTAATCAAAGTGCCCAAGTTGTTCCAAAGGACAGATCATGCTGGAGTCCATTTGCAAACACTTATAGGTTAGATGGTGATTTAACTAGTATATAGTGTTGTCTACCCTTCAAGGACCTCGGGGGGGGGGCACCTCAGACCTCTCAAACCCTTTAAGATAAAACCTGAAGGTAAAGCTTGTAAAAATATACACAATCCTTGTGAGTAAACATTCTTTGGTTTTAAAAACAACTAATTTTAATCCTTTAGCTCCAAGATCTGATTTTTCATTCTACTCTCTAGCTGCTACGCATATCCTTGTAAATTGGTTATGAGAATTTGGTGCTAGATCAAGACAACTTCTGCCTGATAAGTTTGAGTATTCTCATCAACTTTTTGCAGAATAATGCATGGATATCATAGGGAAAATTTACATGTAAATCACTTCTGTGAGTTAAAGGGTTAGAGAGTTTCCACTTTCCTATCAAACAGCGATGGAGAAAAGCAAGGCTTATAGCAGCAGGTTGCAATAGAGTTCAGTGTATCAAAAATTATTTTTTAGTTGCACATAAATAGCCACCATCAAGTTCCCTTCAAAACTTCACTCAAATGAGATACAGAATCTGCAGCTTTATCAACTACTGAAGAGGGCTCTGATCTGATTGGAGTATGTGAGTAGCCCCAACAAAAATCTGATTGAGGCATGTGGACAATGTGACAATATTACACACGGTTCTTATTTTAAAGCAGAAAAAACTATTTCACAACTACATTTTGAGCCTGATACAGACCCTAAGTTGAATAATTAACCACAATTGTGACTATTTGAGATATATCATGTACATGTAACAAAATACTTTAAGTCTCACCTCTTAACCCTTAAACTCCCACGATCTCATTAGTAATTCTCCTTACAGTCTACCATACAGTTCTTGTGATGTTAGTTTGGAGAATTTGGTATTGGATCAACTAATAATCCCCTAATTGATATTCTTCTTTGTTCTCATCACTTGTCTGCTTTATATTGTATCGATTTTGTAAGGAGAAATTCTGTCTTGGTCACTCATGGGAGTTAAAGGGTCAATACATATAACTGGTCCACTGGGCTTAAAAAAAAATAACAATGACAAAACAAGTAAAACAGAAAACTGGTTATTCTGCCACTTTTGATCAAAGGTAAATTAAATGGTAAATTTACAAGTGCTGTTATTTCAAAATCAACCTCCAGACCAGCTTTCAGCAAGCTCTAAGAGAAATTGATAGATTAAAGCTCTAAATTTCTTTGATTTTGTGAGATATTACAATTTTTTCATCAACTGTTATGTGTAAGACAAGTTCTGCCATTTCATGCTGAAATTCTAGCCTGAGTAATAAATATGCACGTAATCAAAACCCCATCCTCGGGTTCAGTTTAAATCATAATGGTAAATAAATGAAATCAAACTAAAAAAGCTAACTGTTTGCTACCAGAAAGAGGCCATGCTCTGAAAGTCTGAAATCAGACAATATCTTTGATTCTGGATCATGTTCCCAGCCCCTAAAATTTGGTTTTACTTCATTCCAGTTCTTATCCCTGGAGTCCCTGAACAGTGATGCACTGGCAATTGTATGAGTACTCACTTAATTTTAGGAGAAATGAGAGATAAAGCAGCACATTTCCATGGGCACATTTCTCTAAAAAAATCTATATGTGTTGATTAGTCCAAATTGTATGAGATGAATCCTGTGATATTACTTGATAATAATATAAATGACTCTGTTTTCCTTCTTAAACATGCTTATTTTTTTGTCGTGGCTGACTGGCCCTGCCTACATTAACAAAGGGTAATTGGTTAAACAAAGACAACCCCATTTAACATGTCAGCACTCCATGTGATGCAGTAGGGCACTTTTCACTTTACTTAAATCTTTTGTCATGGCCCTATATATTGAGAAGCCAAAGATTGCTGCAGTTTGATATAGTCATCTATGCTTCACTGGGATTTTTGGTCCTTGCATTTCACTCAAACTCTGGATTCGAATGTAGTTACTTATAATTCCTCATCTGTTTGCTATTTTTGCACTTTTTCATTAAATCTACCAGTTCCTTGATGATCAATGCCATCTAAACTTTCTGCCCTAAATCTTAACATTTTGCACCCAAGTTTTGTTTGATTCAAAATACATGTACAAGCTCTAATCTTGTCCCGTACAAATATAAAAAATATAGCTGCAAATAACATTTTCCCTATAACCCCACTGTTTTTTATTTCCAAATAACTGTATGCATATAATGAAGTATGGGGTTATGTGTTGATCAACATCCTCCCCCTCCCAGGCATTTGAGTGTAAGTGGATGGAGAATTTGAACCTTACTCAGGTGGACTGGGGCATTCGAACTGGAAATGTAAGTTTTTCCAATATAATACACATATTTTAATGGAGGGGTCTAAAGGATATGAGTCTGCTTTTGTGAGTGAATGGTTTAGAAAGACAATTTCCACATCATAGAATGATGCTTACAAGTGAAAAACCCAACAGCAGCACCAAAATCTTAAACGTGACTTTGCTAAATTCTACGACATCTTTTGATCACACAAAGAATTGTTTTATATTGGGTGGGGCATTTGAATGCAATTTTGGAGGGGGTGGGGAGGGAAATTTGAACAAACTAATCTTAAAAAGTTCAATGCCCATGAGCCTGTCAGGGTAGGGGAAGGGAAGCTGTAGTTTCAAATTGATCTACCCATTACATAGAAGTCTTGCCAAATCATCTATGAATTTACTGATGCACCCATCCAGTTTGATTATTTAATTTAGCAGTATTATGCATCACGAGAACAATGACAAAAACAATAGATTGCCTTTGAACAGACTCTGGCTTTGTAATAGCATAGTTGTATGAGTTTTATTGGAAATCCAAAGACCTAAAATATGAACTCTTTTTAACAAAACTAGTAATCTTTCTCACTACTATCTATCAGCCTGCCTTTTGAAGATATTAATCTAGGACTATAAAGAAAATTCTTACAGGTTTGAAGATTCTCTCATATCACAGTGCTTTCCCTTGTTTTAAGCATGACAGGTAAAAGGAATTTTCAAACACATTAAGAGAAATCCTTTGTCTGTTGAATTTTCAAGAATTCCACGCAATTTAAGGCAGTAATAAGAGGTAATACAAGTGGTACCTGTTATCACCAGAAAAAGAGAATACTGGTCATGATGAAATGTTATAAAAACAAGCTGTGCAATAACACCTTTTCAGGTGGTTTAGGGCAATTTTGGCAGCCATGAGGTTTCTTAGGTGATTCTTCAGGAAAACTACTTTTTACAAATGTTCCCTCGCAATGTCCGTTCAAGAAATACTCAATAAAAGTTAGGTCATTGTGTTTGTTTTAGAGATGATGGGCCAAACTTTCTCCATTTATGCCTGTACTAGCACTAATCATGCACATCATTGAATCAGTTCATGGTTGATCTTCCGGTAGCTGGAAGCAAGGGTTTTTAAAGTAACACTTGAAAAAGACCCGTTAGAGAGAAAATAACAATCACTAATCACAATATTTAGGCCTAGAGTATCCACAATATTGATTTATTTGCCCCAGAGGACAAATGACATCACATTAAGTCGGCATTATGTAAAAGTTTCCGTCCTACCGAAAAGTAAAAACGTCTCCCGTTATCGATTTCAATCTGTGATAACTCATTTGCGTTTGAAGCAGTTTACAAAACTGGAGCTAACACGAAAAAAAATTACACTGGGAAAAAAAAAGACAAGTCACAAAGAACTCCGCTATCGAGTTTTATCGATTTTCGATATTAATCGACTAGTGAGTATCGAAAATTATCGATTACAATCGACTTAATCGAGTATCAAAATTACTGATCTGTAACGTTTCGATTCAGAGGATATTCAGTTACACTTAGATCTAAGGCAAATAATTAAAGGAACATGCAAAAACCACCAGAACGTCGAGCAAAGCAAAGTTCTTTTCCGGCTAATAATTTTGAAGTTAAAGCTTATAATTCACAGCAGTTAAGCAATAGTCTTAATTTTTTCAGTTTTAAGTGGCCATTTCTCGAGAACGAAGACCATATCAATTTCGTTTTACTTACGGTCGAACGAAGCGTTGAAACATGTTTTCATCTTTCCCATTTAAAATAAATGGTTCGAAAGTCTTCGGTCTTCAATTTGGTTTTAGAGCGCAGTCATATGCATGCGAACACTTCATCAATTGGAATAACTTTCGTTCGCCTATTTCAGTGCCTGATCTCACATGATGTTCGCGGTACGGTTCGACCACGTGCCGTAGCCGAACCTAATTTTAGTAACGAAGTCTACAGATTGCATTACCATAGATTTTTTAAAATCACCTACGTAGGGTAGACCTTGGAACCGATGACCTCGACGTAAATGCATTTAAGCCGAGAGAAAGAAAGTTATTACTGCTCTAGACAAACCTGGCTGCTGCATGATGGCACTTTCCTTTCAAAACTTCAGCGAACAGTTGAAGAACAATAGTGCAACATGTTGTCCCAGAAGTCTCAGCGAAAAAAATTCTAGAACGGATTGGACCCGACACATTCTAAACAAACAACGCATCATTTTGTAGATATAAATAATCTATATTCGCAACCCAGTCAGAATATTTACAGATGGATATAGAACAAAAACAAAGCGTGCTTTATATACAAGAATGTATATTATTTCCGAAGAGCTTGCATAGCTAAAGCAAAATAAACTTCACTGGTAAAATTATCAATATAATTTTATGTTGATAATTTAATCAGCATTCAATTTGGAGCGCGGAATCCGAAGGTCTAAGGTTCAATTCCTCATGGGGACTCTGGATTTTTTCTTTGTCCCACGCTCGTGACAAGACGAAAACATCTTTCTCTATTTCTTTACCGAACTTAAAACTTACCATCTCTCTTATTTCTATCAACAAACATTACGCTATCGACATTGCTGATCCTAGCAGTATGCAGGACGCGTGTCATATGAACTTCGTAATAAACCTCGCCACCGTGGAGTCTCTGTGGCTCAGTGGTAGAGCATAGGAAGGCGGAATCTGAAGGTCTGAGGTTCGATTCTTCACGGGGAATCTGGATTTTATTTCTTTGTCCCACGCTCGTGACAAGACGAAAATCAACAAGAAAAGCTTAACTTGTAAAAATAATTTATCGGACTATTTCAAAGTCTGGTGACTTTTTTATCATTCTTCGTGTCACCAAGCCGGCAATGAACGCATATCATGCCCGAGACAACAATCAATGTAACTATAGATTTCTATCATCTAGCTTAAGTTTCTGTATTTGGGGTTACCCAGGTGTCTTATCATTCTGTTAATCCTCTAACCCCTAAGAGTGACTAGCATCTAATTTTTTCTTACAATGTCACCCCTGAATCGTGCAGTAAGGTCATGAGAATAAAGAAAATTATCAGCAGCTAAAGAAGTTGTTGATTGTTGTACAAATTCTCCTTGTCAGCACCTAAGTGAATGTATGGGAAACAGTATGGAGAATAGCTTTATTGATGTTAAGGTGTAAAGGGTTAACGCTTAGAAAACCTCCAAAAAAGCTTGAATCAATTGTTTCTAAGATCTACCTCAGCATTATTCAGCTTGCACGGTCGGTACTGCATGTATAAGAGGGTCTCAGTGGGGTGATGGCTCTTACGGCTAATGGGTAAAATTTTGGCCAATTTACGGCTATTGGTTAATATCTGTCCACTGTGGTCAACAGAAAAATTTTTACGGTTAATTTTTTTTTCCACGAAGGGTTAAAATTTGTCAATTTTTACGCCTAACGGCTTAAGTTTTTGGTCATTCTACGGTTCTTGGTTAACCCCTAAAGACCCTCACATATGTACTAGTTGCATTTTGTTTGAACGCCTAAATTTCGCTTGAGAAGCGGGAGTGAGTTTCGAATTTTCAAAATTGAAAAGGACCGGGAGGACCAGGGAGTTGAGGGAGCGGGGAGCTTGAGCTACAAGCGTGTTAAAGATTTCTACCATGCCGCGCGTGCTGGCGTTAGAGGAGATTGAGATCGTTGTCACGCACGCTTCCATTCACAATGAAACTATGTTTTGCAGTTTTCAGGAAAATAGGAAGTGTATAAATCACCCAATCTTGCAAATATATCTCAAAAGGTAGTAATTTACAATAAACATCTACATCACGTGTGCAAATTTATGAAGTGTTAAATTGAATCTCATAATCCTTAAGTGGTTTTTTTCACAAAGTGTAGAACCAAAACATTTTTCCTCACTCACGTACATCTAACAGGAACGCAAATGTTACGCGCAGTTACATAGTAATATAACTCAGCGGCTGATGAAATCCAAACAAAGATGATTGTCATCCGTGATCGGTAAAGCTCCAAGCTGAAATGCAAACAGCACGTAACAACACATGGCCTGTATTTTGGTAATGGAGCCGGCGAACAGTCATTTAGCATGGAGTTTTTCCGAATCATGCTCCGACAGAAACCCGTGTTGAAAGGTTCTATTCACCAGATTTTTCCTGTTAAAATGTCTCCTTTTGTTGCGGTTTCCTTTCTTAAGTAACGTCAGTCTTTCCCGATTAACTGCGCTGACACCCTTGTCATGTTGTATATCCCACAAGCGTCGCTCCAGTGAAAGGAGTCTGGTATCAAAGCGGTACAAAAAGTAACACATAAACGCTATCGTGCACAGCGCCACCAACAAGTTGAAGATAAATCCATAGCAGAGAGAAGTGTTACGGTTTTTCCTGTGCATCGCGCTTCCCTTTTTCAGTTCTTAAAGTCTAAAAATTCCTTCTTCATGTACATCGTACCCTAATCGTGTCAAGGTCTGTTTGCCGTTAGTAGCCTTTGAGTAATTGATAATGCGTTATGCAGGATAAGATTTCAGCAAAAATATGCAGCATAAACACAAATATTATGTCTCTTGGAATGCGTGTAATCTTCTTGTTGAAAGCTGTTTGGAGGCTAAATTTTGAAATCGATCTTCTAGAAGAGGACCACACCAAAACACAAGGAATTAAACAGCTGTAATTGTTCTTAAGATGGCACTGAGCCCAAGCTGATATTTATCTACAGTGATTATCTAATTAATTTACTGCTTTCATTTCTGTTAATGTCCTTTAAGAAGTTAATTCCATTGTATTCGAAATGTTGACATTTCTGGACGTCGGCATTTCCACGGCTAATACGTAATGCGTAATACGTAAGAAAATATTTTTCTAAAGAACTTATGTTCAGTTCCAACGCCGCAAAGTTTAAAACTGTTTTGAAAATTCAGCCACCCCATGCTGAAAAGATAACTCATTGAACTGTAAACATGAAACAAGTGTTGTAAGCAGGATCTGACAGTTTTCATAGACAAAAACAACCTTTGAGACGCTTGTAATGTGCAGCATAAAAATAACAATCGAAATTGATATTTTGACCCACGTAAGATATGCAAACCGCGAAGAAATTATCTTTGTACCGAGGGGATTTGCAACTAAAGACATTGCAGTGACAATTTTTTTGCAATTCCTGAATTTCAGCTGGCATGCAAAGATCGTTCCTTTTCTTGTGGCTTGAAATGTTGCCAGTTGTATTTACCTACGCCTTTGGCGGATTGCCCTCGACTGCAAATAAAGTTCCGCAGAAAAATTTCCGTGTGATAAAACGCTGCAAAATTCTACCATTCTCACTGAGTGAAAGAAAGCACTGTGCGCGCGAATCAATCAACTGTCAATTCGAGTTTTCCGTATTCGGACTGAATCACCCTGCCCGCTATCATACCCGTGGGTACTTTTTGAATCCACAGTTCGTACAACGTCAGGATCGCAAATTTCTACTCAACTTGAAGTATATAAAATTTACTAATCTTAGAATATGTTTTAGCTAATATGGGCAAAAGTGCGAAGGGAAAGAAAGGTACTTTCTTAATCAGAGTATGGACCCTACCTGCCCCCCCCCCCCCATCAAAAGTTCCTGGATCCTCTCCCCTCCTCGAAACTTTCGTCCAGGCATCATCTAACGTGACACTTCCTCCTTTAAAACTCGACACACTTTAGGAAATTTGCATTTGAAAATTTGAAATTTTTTATATTTCTGTTGCTTAACGGCAAAATCGAAATTTTCCCGGCAGAAATTTCAGCGAAATCAAAGAACAGAAATTTTGTTCCCCCCAAAAAAGAAAGATCGTCAGTCAGCAGTATTCAAGGTTGAACAGGTAACAATCAGGCAATCCAACCTTCTGCATTGCCACCGTGAAACTTCCATAAAAAGAGTTTCTAGATTCAACAATTGTGATAACGCCGTCAGATAATCGAACATCTCATCGTCTTTTCACTGATTAAGAAACTCGACATCACAAGCGAAAGTAGCAGATAGCCACTAAGCTCTCTTTTCTTATTTTGGACGACCTGAGGAGAGAAGATATGGAGAGGGTGGGGTGGGAAGTGGAAGTCTTCTCCTATTTTGTGACACTCGAAACTGGACCTGTGCGCGAGAAATAATTCTAAATTTTGGATGGGAATGTAGCCAAATTCGGATGGGGTTTCGAATTTCGGATGTGAAGGTAGCCATACCTCTAGATTGTTCAACATAGTTTCAACATGACAATCAACGAAATTAACACATATACATATGGCTTTTATCTAGCTTTATCTAGATCGTAACAGTAATCATAATGATAAAATCCTCTAAGGGCTACATTAGCTAGCCTTTTAGACACCAAGTAAAATCCATTCTTTGGGTAAAATTTAAGCGCAGCCTCCTGAGCGCTGGTTGTCAAAAGAACTATTTGTTTATATCCTATCTCCTTTGCAAAACTTAATAATACATGTAACAATTTCTTAGCAACACCAAGTCGACGAAATTCGGGTGAAACAGCCATTCTCCGAAGTCGACCGACGGTGTCCCGAGGCTTTCCGAAACAAACTTCGTGCTCACTGACGGGAACAAGGGCGACCATGCCGATGATTTTGTTGTTAAGTTCAGCCACCCACATATGGGACCTTTTCTGGCCTAAATAGACATTCTCTACGTTATCTAGATCGTTGCGTAAGCAGCTTCGAATGTACCTTGAAAACCCAATGTGCAGTCCAGTGAACAAGGCAACCAATAAAACAAATAAAACTAAAAGGTAAATTGATAAACACCAAGGAGACCATATGAGGTTTAAAAGTGCTACAGGGAACGATAAAAATAATCCATAAGAAGCCGCTTGGTACATGACGTCACGAACAAAGGGTCCTCGCATTTCTCCCATGCTTTGCGTAAAGATCTTGCGAATCATGGGACTGTCACGTGACTCAAATGACCTAATGATGACGTCAATGTTCGTATCTTGTTCAGCTTCCCTACCACTCGTTGAGAAAGACTCCTTTGATTGTTTCATTCCTACACAGAAAAAAAAAATTATCAAGGGTTAGTGGAAGTTTTGGAGTCGTATCAGTTGAAGAGGGGTTCTGTTAAAAACTATTTTCATTTTAAAACTTCTTTTAAGTCAGTTAGATCTCCATAATGTCAACCTCGTCCATGCAACTTTGACCAATAATTAGATATCATGAATGCATAATAATAATAATAATGACAATAATGATAATAGTAATAATAATAATGATAATAATAATAATAACAGTCTTTATACAGGAGGCTCACTTCACTAGAAAGTGGTATTCTGTGAGGTCCTCTAAAATAAAATAAAATAAAAGTTATCATAAATAGATAACATGTAAGAACAAAAAAGCTATGAAATAAAAGTTGATTGTAGAGGCTAAAAATCTAAATTCATAGTTTTTCATTCTTTGCTTTAAAAATGAGGAGAGAGTTGATTTCTTTGAAAGAAGTATCTAAAAGACTCCATTCTTTTGCGCATATGTATAAAAGTCTTTGTTCTCCCTAGTTTTTTCAACAAGAGAAAGGAAAAATCATTCTTTCTTCTTGTATTATGGTTGAGCAATGCATGGTTGAGCAATGCATGGTTGAGCAATTAATGACAATTCAATAGCACCACTAGCATCTGTACTGGGGGGGTAGGTACTCCCTAGTAAAAGGTTACTGGGAATGTGCTGCTGGATGGGACCACATTTTTGATACAGTATTAAAATTGGGTCTCACGTTTTTAGGATTTTTGGGAAAAGAAAATTTTAGGATGACCTCCTTTAAAGGTTTCATGAGGTGATGCATATTTTAACAATTTGTCTGCAAGTAGGTAGCATTCATAGTCTAACCTTCGAATTGCAATAACCCTTTTTGAAGTTAAGCAATTGACTGCACTTTCTGTCAGTTTATGGATGTAATTGCCCCTGTAGGATGATGAGAGAACATGAGTAAATTAACGTTTATAAGCGAGAAGAGATCTAGAAACTTTTTGTGTGTTTAACCAACATCCCAAGTGGGTTATTACACCAGTGAACATGTAGTAGGAGTACTTTAAAAAATATTTAGATTTAAGTCAAAAGATGAGTGTATTATTTTTTTTATTACATCTAGGAGAGATTTGCACAAGGGTACTACTTAGAGTTCATAAAACTCATTGTAATGTCTACAAACACTTCCTTAATGCCATCAATGTCCACCTCAGGCAAAAGAAATCCCATGATGATAATAAGTTGCATGAAAAGGATTAGTAGACAGATAATATAGAGCTCTTTATTTTGTGTTTGCAGCTAACATAGAGTTGCACAAGAACATTAACAATTAAAAATGTCTATTTTAGAGCTCATTGCCAATGTCAACATATTTGCATTGGCTCCCAGCATATTCTTTGTGGTGGACAGCTGTCCAGTTGCTGCAAAAATGGGCTATTCTATTTTTCATCTAACTGCCACCCCTTTTTCCATGGAAGGCAACATTTGGTACAGGGCTCTAATGGAGTATTTTTCTAAGAAACCAACAAAATTTTGAGCCCTCCAACTGCAAGTAAACTAACACAAATATGAGCCCTCCAATTGCATTTAAACTAACATAATTTTGAGCCCCACAACTACAATTAAACCAACACAATTTTAAACCCTCCAACTGTAATTAAACAAACACAATTTTGAACATCCAAGTGCAATGTTAAAAGGTGCTGTCCACTAAAAATAAAGTCAAGTTTTACAACTTGGCCTTCCCTAGGGAGGGTTGAGATGAATAGTGGAATGTCCCAATGAATAATTCTATCAGTCAGAAGATCCATACATTGCCAACAGTTAATAATTATTTCCTGAAGTGGAGATCAATAGAGATGGATATTTTCCAAGCCCCGAAGTGGTAAGGTAAATATTCACCAGTTTCACACCAAGGTGAACAATTGTCTTATTATGTACCACATAGATACCAAAAAAATTTTTTTTTTTTTTCAGATACTGAAAAATGCTTAGAAATTTAGCTCTTGACTTGCCATTTTATCTTATCAGCTGCTGGGAAGTTAAGCGCACTTGCAATTCACTTCTAAACTAGCCAATCAGCGTGTGCAAAAGGCACTATTCACTTGTGTTGTATAACCTTTTACACCCTAACATTAGCAAAGGTATTCTTCATACTGTTCCCCATTCATTCCCTAATGTGCTGACCAGGAGAATTTCTTGGACAATCAACAGCTTATTTTGCTGCTGATAATTTTCTTTATTCGCATGACCTTAGCACAGAATTCAAGGGTGATATTGTAAGGAGAAATTAGATGCTAGTCATTCTTAGGGATTAAAGGTATAAACTAATAAATAAAATGGTAAGTGTTAAAAAAAACAACATACCAGTCATATGGGAATTTTTTTAACTCTTAAAAAAATCCCATAAGTGACCAAGAAAGAATATCTCTTTACAATATCAAACATTATCAACCAGAAAAGTAATGAGAAAAAAGAAAATATCAATTTGGGGATTGTTAGTTGATCCAATACGAAATTCTCCAACCTAACATCTTCAGAATTGTATGACAGACAGTAAGGAGAACTATTAATGAGATCATGGGAGTGAAAGAGTCAGTGGATAGGGAATGTAATTACAAGCTTAACATTTTAACTCCCACAAGTGATCAACATAAAACTTCTCCCAATAATATCCATACATTATTCAGTAAACAGCCAATTAGAATATTCAAACTTTTCAGGGAGAAGTTGCTATCTTGATCTAGAACCAAATTCTCTTAACTAATTTACAAGGAAACGAGTACCAGTTACTGAGAGGGGAGAATTAACAATCAGGTCATGGGAGTTAAAGGGTTAAAAACAATTGAGGCTTGCACAATTAAAAAAAAATCGTAGGATTGCTAGGATTGGAGATATTCCAGGTCTTTCACAGGGCTAGCTTTCGTGAGCTTTAAAAAATCCTAAAGTACCCATAAAATACCCATTATTTAATACTTCATGCTTACCTTAAACTCATTTGATGTTGAAGATGGGTCTAAAGGGCTGTAAAGGTTTTCCGATTTAGTTTTCCACACCACGGTTAGTTAGTAAATTGGACGGAAATGCATACGATAGGGCAACGAGAGCCCGTGAAAAATAAATATCATTTGATTTTTGTCAGCGGTCTCGCTGTAAGAATATAGGACATTATGTAGGGTAGATAGAATGTGCTCGTTCCAGTGACCTTTAATTTCATTTTTTACTTTTTATTTTCTTTGAATATATGGCCATCATGTTTCAAGGGTTGTTGTTTCTCTGATAGAATGACTATATTGTCCACTGTTCCACTGACCTTTCATTTCATTTTTGCAATTTTTGGCCAATTTTTTTAAAGTTTAGTCTGGTTTAAAATAGTTTAGTTTAGTTTTGTTTAGAATAGTCTAGATTAGTTAAATCTACTTTAGTTTAGTCTAGTTTATTCTAGTATAGTTTATTTCATTTATATAAATATTTAAATTTAGTGTAGGCTAGTTTATGATGATAATAATAATAATAATAATAATAATAATAATAATAATAACGATTATTCTGGCGACCAGTCGTAAGTTTCCGCCTAGGTTTCTAATTTAAATGACACATTTTAATGTCTGTTCCGCAGGGGAAATCAGGTCAGTTTTAATTTATTCCGCAGGAAGGTTTTTGGAAGGTATATGTAGTTCTAAAAATGGTCAAATTACATCCTGCTATGAAAACCGTAAGTAATTCCGTTTCGCCAAACTTCGTTGGTTTCAATACAAATGTTACACACTGCAGGATTTGAGATCACTGCAAAACCGTAAGTTGTGATGTTATTTACCAAAACAACAATTCGAATGCTGCAGGGGGACGACCCTGATTTCTTGGGTACAGACACTATTAAGGACCATACTATCAACAATTTTTTCGTTAGCCGACGATTTGCTGGAATGGACCGGCGATCACCACTTTAGACTAACGATCGCTACATTGAACTGGTGGCTGCCCCTTCGAACTGGGTATTGTCAATTTGAACTAGCGATTGCCACTCTGAACTGGGAAGTGCCACTTTGAACTAGAGATTGCCACTTTGAGCTTGAAGTGGCGAATTGCCAATTCATAGTAGCGCTCGCCAGTTCAAAGCTGCTAAACGCCATTTCACAAAAAGTGTTCATAGCGTGGCCCTCGATGGGCACCGTACTTAGGGGTTCATTTTAGAAATTTCCTCCTCCCGTTCCCCCCTCAATCTTTCTTCATGGATAGTTGACGTGGTTTTGAGATAATTTCTCAGGCGGTTGAAGGGAACTACACAAAAGTAGCCGAGTTCTGTAACCAATTAATGCAAAGTGTGACAAACTTCGAGAAACATGTTGGTCGTCAGTACGTTTTTACAAAAAAAGAGTTAAGTCAGTGAAATGCGCTACAACATGACGCTATTGTCCAATTACCAAAGCATGACTTGTCACCTGTCCTATCAAAAGTCAAACTGTCCAATTACAAGCATGACGCGAACACTGTCCTTTTAAGGCGGGTGATCATTCGAGAGTTTTGCTGAGGTTTTGATCCATAGGGAACGTCCTCGATAGGGATAACCTCATGACGGCTCCATGTAAGTATATTGAACGTAATAAACATCATGATTTGATTTGACTCGCTAAATAAGGTTACCGTCAAGACATATTTCAGGAATTTCTCAAACCAATAGAAATATTCTGGAAAGTAAGAAGACGATTGCAGATGTCGATTCGGCCATATACTTTAATCTCATTCAACTATTATTATTTGTACAGCGTAAATTATCCCTTAAATCTTAAGTAAGCTTCACTCTTGATGACGCGTGGTTCTCTGATCAGTGTCTCTAGAATTTTCCCGCCAAAAGCCAGTCCTGGAGGGAACCTGGGAACGCCCAGATTTTGTCGTGTCCTTACCGAATAGCTCCTCAAATTTGTTGTTCCACTGTTGGACATATTTATCTTCTGCCTGCTGCTGTTGCTTTTGTTTTTTGAGTAAGTCCTTTAGTTTATTACTTGAGCTGTGACCTGCTCCTTGGCTAAACCCAAAACCACTCCGCTTACCTCTAATATTGTCTGAAGGAGCGGATCGGAAGGGAATGTCTGACACTTCTGGAAAAAAGAAAAAGCCAAGGGTCATGCTAAGTCTCGTACCCAGACCTTCCAAAGCCAATTTCAGTCACGATTATGGTAGGGGAGGTGGGGAGGGTCGGAGGAATTTTTTGTGCGTCATAATAATCCCCCTAAGGCTGTGTAATATTCTAACGATCTCCCCTCATTGACAGTCAATGTTTTATAGTCCCCCCCTTATGCTCTGTTAGCACGACTGGTCTCTCATCCGTTCCCCCTGGATCCTCTCCCAAAAAATCCTCTTACCGCCCCCTCCTTTTTTTTAAGGCGATAAATAATGACGGGGACGGGTCCCTTAGTGTGACGGTAACCGCTTGAATTAAACCGGAAGGGGTGACCCAATGCTATATGGAGGTCTGAATTTTTTAGGCTTCTTTCTCTGCACTGTTTTTTTCCTTTTTCAGTGTGAAGATCAGCTCGTTACTTGAATATGGTTGAAGCATTAACACGAATTGCACACTGAAATCCATTTATCCATTTAAAGGCAGCTCTGACATTATTCCCCCTCAAAATGCTTGGACACAAATGCGAAAAAAAAACTTTACGGCTCTTTTTCTAACTTGCCTTCATTAGTCGAGCGCGGCATCAATATTCGGCTTGAAATTCCTCCGACAAGGTTCAAAAGAAGAAGGAAAGTAACGACGAATCTTTCCATAGCACAAAAGGTAATTTTTTTCTGCAAAAAAAAATCGCACAACTCAAGTTTAGAGCGGGCCCATGAGCTCACAAGCTAACCTCCGATCAGACGATCTTTTTCAAAGGGAGAGCGATTGGCGGTCGTAACTAAAAGTACACACGAGTGACTACGAGCGACTACGAGCGACTACGAGTAAGAAGTTATCAGAGTATTTGGCTGACATCATCATTACGTCGTCATTACGTCATTCAACCAATAATCATGATTCAACCGTAAATAAATAAATTCCTGAGGCTGAAATATGTAAACAATGCATCATTTTCTTTTATTCCAAAGCGTAATTTCTGGAGATAGACTCCGCTGTCAAAAAATAATATGCAATGTTATCGTGTTTCTCTCGTGTGTCGTGTCGACGTTTCCGCCCTCTCGAGAATCCCGCTTCCCACTTTTCTGTTTCTCGTATCCTCTTCGAATTGAAGGAAAGAAAGGAAGGGAGGGATGGAAAGAGAAAGGACGGAAGGAAGAAAGGAAGAGAAAATTAATGGAAAGAAAAAGAGCAAAGTAAACAAAAAGAATTAGATTAAAAAGTTCAAAGAAAAAAAGTAAACAAAAAAGAGCGACGAGTGGTGGAAACCGGGAAGGGCGACAAGCAGCAGGAAAATTACACAAACAAAAACCTTCCCATTTCCCATCCTGTTGAGGGCCCGCTCTAGATTATACATTATTTACAAATTTCAGCCTCTGCAAATTTTTTTTCAGTTAAATCATGATTATTATATAAGTATTTTAATAGGATTTTATTTGTATTTTTTCATAACGTACACAAAAAAATACGCACTTCTGATTGGCTAAAAACGGGTGCGTTCCATGTAATACGAGTGCAAAATTGTAACATTGGTGCAAATTACAAATAGCGCGCGCATGCTTCAAAGTTCGTCCGCCTTGACCCTCTGTGATGTTTTTCCACGTACATTATTAACACTTGCAAATTTTACAAAGACTTTAATTTATACTTGCCCGACGGGCTCCTCCAATTTGGCGTCTTTGTAAAAATTTTTCGTGCTTATTAACACCAAATTGTACCCGAAATCATGTTAAGACCTATACATGAAGTGACATAACGACGATATAACTATGATGTCAGCCAAATATACTGATGCCTACTTTTAGTCACTAATGTTCACTAGTGGTCACTCGTGGTCACTCGTCTGTACTCTTAGACACGGACCCTCGCACTCCTAGAAAAACACGGGTTGATCACAAGATACGCTTGAGTTTATCTTCGCTTGAGCACGTGAGCTTGCATAAAAGTGTGTGGACGTGTCAGTTCCTAAATAAGAATGTACATGAGCACTTTATTTGAGCGCACAGCTGGTGGCTTGCAGGTAAGGGTGGAAGCAGTGTGCGGAGATTAAACGTCTAAACCATTTATTGCCCAATTTCCTTCTTGCGGCAAAACTTGGCCTATCAAATATGAAAGGATTCCTCGCCCTGGGAAGCAAGTTGTACTTCAATGTCCCGAGGTCGGGCCTAATGAATGAACTCAAAAAACCACATGGAAACACACTATAAGACAGAAGTTCATTCAAACCATTGTTGTCTTTACAAAGTAGCCTGATCAACAAAAAACGAGCTTAGACGTGTCTAAAAGTACGCGAGGGCAAACAATTTCAACGCAGCCAACGCCTAATTAAGTTTAAAATTTGTGAATTTTGAGATCAAAATTAAATGCTTTGCAATTGAGACTTCGCGACTCATTGCGGAGGCTGACGGATAGAAATATTACAAGTTTTAGGGACCCACAATTTTCTAAGGAAGCATTCACCACCATTAGATGTATGTCAAAAGTGCGAACGATCCTTCTAGCCTCCGTCTAGTGTCTGCACTCGCCTGTGAATGCAGATAAAAGTCTTAATTTTCGACCGTAATTTAGTCAATTAAAAAAGATAAATTCTGAGACCTCACTGAAAACAAGGTGAAAGGAAACGAAATGCAATCAAGCGAAGAAAATCGGGGCGAAAAAAAACAAACAAACAACAACTCGTCGTTGGGCTCCTGCTGTGAAATACAGTGTTTTTTCCTCTTTTATATTCGTTTACTTTGCCAACTCAGACCGCATTTAACTCAGATCGTATAAAATAGTGAAGACTTTTTTTTTACCTTAGTTAATGGATGGAGAATGAATCTTCGCTTTTTACGCCCAGTTTCAACAACACTTTACCTCTGACCCTTAACTGTATTATTTGACCGGTCAAGTGAGACAACAGGTGTGTTTAATTTTGAAATTGCTTGATGACACGTTTATATGAGTTTTCAAATCGTGAGCTTGGGCTTACTGTGGTTTGTTCACGTGCCTTAAGCGTAAAGCAAATGATGATACACACAAAGGGATTTACTTCTGGAGTATTCCCTAGAGTCTTTTTGCCCCATAGGTACACACGAGGGGGCATTTTTATCTGTATCAGTCGATTACAAATATTGAAGCGATTTGTGGGATAAAAATTCGGCTCCCAAGGACAAATAATTTGCTTCTGAAGTATGCGCTCAGAGCAACACTTGGGCGCAAAACCTTTCGTGTGTATCAGCTCTACTAGCATGCAGGACAGTCGTAATTTTTTTTAGCTTTCCAGTTAAATCGAGGCGCGTGCGAGGCGCGCGCGAAGTGCGAGTCACGTGCGGGGAAGGAGTGCAAAAAAATAATTAGAAAAATCATTTGTTTATCCTTCACAGCTGGTTCGTTTGGAATCAAACGAAGGGCTTCTCGAATAGCTTCCTTCATAGAACAACATGATACGACCATCGCGCTGTTGTTAAAAACATTCCATGATCACGAAATCAAGTAACCAATGGAGCAGCTGCGTCCATATATGAACGAAGGAACAGAACAACCTTTTTTTTTCGCACTTTTACCCTAGCTCAGGCCTTCAGTTTGGAAAGTAGTGGCGGAGCAAAAAAAAGGGGCTTGGGTCGAGTCAAAAAATTCAGCTTCTATAAAACGCTCGTTAAAACATCGTTCCGTTTTAAAGTGCCGACGGGCCTGAGCGAATCCTGCAACTCGCAAGATATTTTCAGTCTTCAGCCCTCAAAGCCAAGCTCTGACCAGAATATATTTTAATGACCTTCCTTTGCGATAGGATAATGAGGGTGGCTCCGTCAAAATTTATCGTAAGGTGACTCCTCAGTTTTGCACCTGTATTGCGCATTAAAATCACGTAATCAGGGGAATGAGCGCGCGCGCATTCCGAGAACACGGTATTGTTTTTCAATCCGAGGACCAGGTTAAGAAGTACGATGGTCTAAGCTCTAGAAGGAGCACAGTGACTGATATTTTTTCTGGTATAATTTTGTTGAAAAAATTATCTTCTTTAAATTGGGGAAATTAAAAAAAATTATTCGAAGGGAAAAAGAGATAAAGCTAAAAGCGCGCACTAAGCCCGTTACTCGACGATGCAATTATGACCTTGAAAGGAACGACTCGAGGAACGTTTTGAGTCGGTGTCGTTAAAACTTGCGTGATTTTCCCACAAATTACATATCAAATTGTTCCATACGCTCGAGAATTTCTACTTATTAAAATTTTTCAAGTATTAATTTAAAAAGCCTTGCTTTCAGCTGCAGAAAAATGTACCTTGAACCGATAAAATGACGCGCGTGACTAGCGCTAGTACAGACATAAACATATCTCCTAAACAAGCACGGTGAGCTATCCTTTAAATTGTATTTTCGAAACAGAATTGGTAAGGAACATTTAAGGAAAGTTAAAAATAATTTTTCGATAACTTTTTTTTTTCATAGGGAATCACCTAGTCTTAATGTCATAATCTTGGTGTAAAAATAACTCTCTTTAAATCAGAAAAATTTAAGATAGATTAATTAAAAGTAAAAAAAAGATATAGCTTAAAATTTGCACGAAGCCCATTACGCGACAACGCAAATTGTATTTTGAGTAGATGTTGTTTAAAATTGCGCGTTTTCTCCCCAAATTAGATATAAAATTTTTCCATGCGCTCGAGACTTTCAAGTTTTACTTCAAAACCTTTGCTTCCAGTAGCTGCAAAATGTCCCGCTATCTAACGTGCTCCGCTTTACTGACTGAATGCTTAGAAAAGACCATAATAATCTCTGAGATATACTTGAGTTGCAAACATGAAACTCGTTTGAATTTTCCGTTCTCGATACCTCAGTCAGGAGCACTAATTATATCAAAACTCGTTTAGTGAATGAGGGTTTGTTTGAGACTCAGGTAGTTTTCTGATAAGGTTGTCCAAAACAAAACAAAAAAGTTTTTTTCGACGAGAAAATTATATAAATTTCATAGCAACGTCTTTTTTTCCCCTTTCTCTCGTGAATCACGCACTCTTGACTCACTTGGGCAACTCTAGGACTTATGAGTTTCTGGCTTCCAAGAAGCCTCAGCATCACTTGCAGCAAAACGTGGGGTCAGATGGACTTAATTGCATGATGAATTTTGACCCCCAGAGTAAGCGAAGAAAAAAATGACTGAAAAATGAAAGAGCTAATATCACATCCCTTACCTTAATTTGACCAGAGCGGTGTGTTTAGAAGTGCTGATATCGGTATTAATGGACGTTTCAGTTCCCGGCGATGTCTTAACTACGGCAATTTATATCTAGCAATTAACACAGAGGAGGAAGCAAAGATCACAATAACTGCTTTCAGTGATGCCGGCGTTTGCGTGGGTCACCAAAGAGACAATGAGGATGAGACTTTCCTTGCTGACGGTTTCCTAGTTTCCGTTACCATCTGGAAGATCATTAACCATAATTTTGGTTTGTTTGTTGATAGAGAATGCGGCACTAAATTTTCAATCGGCAACCATTTCTTATGCTAATCAACGAGTCTGCTGTTGTTGTTGTCAATTTTTCACTGTAACAGAAAATTGATTTTGTAATAGTCCGTAAAACCACGGCTCATGGCAGGAAGCCATGAGCAAACTAAAACATATCTGTTCGTATTTTTTATTATAACATAGCGCGCGTGCTTGCTTTATATAAGTCCTATTGAGCCGCTACGAACAAAATCTTTATTCACGCACGCTCGTTCGTAAATAAGATGACGTAAGATGTTTTTGTTCATTGTTACTCTGTTATAAAAGAATTTGCTCATGCTTTTAGCGCCTCGAGCTACTCTTACGCATTTTTTGTGCTCTCCAAACTTCCCGCATGCATCCACAACTCGATATACGCACGCTAAGCATGGACAAATTCTTAAATAACGTATGAAAGAACTATTCATTTCGGTCCACGCCTTCTATGCGTTTTCATTCCACTAATTTATCATTATTCTCAGAATAGAAATTAAGCACTACATAATCAATTAAACCACACTTGAGGCGACAGGTAGTAAAATGCGGCTTGAAGCTGTGTAAAAGGTATTTTTGGCAGGCCTGAGGACGCCTTTGAAAGAAAAAGAATGAGAATTGATTGTAAGCGAAGGGCGATTACAAAGCACGCTTTTCTATTTTTCCCTAATTTTGCACGCACGAATTTTTTCAAGAAGGAATCCACAGCGCCTAAAGCGACTTACACCAAGGTTAACACGAGCTATTTAGTTTTCAGATAGCTAATAGTTAAAAAATTTTGGTCGCTTTACAACTAACGGTTAGTTTCTTTCGTTATGGTGAACAGAAATGTTAAATCATGATGAATTCTACTTTTTTAAAGCTATTGAACAGTTTTCATCGCTTTAGGGTTCAATTCAAATGTTTGTGGGTGAAAATCACTCTTTAATAACTCAATCGGTTGGTTGGACAAAGCGTGGCTCCATCGTTCTCTCACACGCTGTACATAACCCACAATTCCTCTACTGGCTCTGACGAAGGACTAAAGCTCGAAACATCAGTTAAGAAACTCTTAACAGTGGCTAGTTTACAATATCAAAGAAGTTAATAAAACCAAATTATAACGTAATACTCCCACACTACCGCAGCATAAGGGTTTCGTTAAAACTGACTTACCACCTCTATGTTTTGACCAAAACATTTTTTCTATTACGTAACGCGTCTTTCCTCGCTCAATCATTATCTGTTTTTTTTTTCAATTACGTAACGCATGTCCTTCCACGCCTCATTATTATATGTAAGTCAAGGGAAAATAAAGTCCAATTATTTTCTTCTGGTACTTAAGATCAAGTTCCCCGAGTTCCCTTGCATTTCGTCGCATACGTAAGAACAAGCACGTGAACACAAACGATTTGGTGTTATTTAGAATTATTCCATCTTTTGGAGAGAAATCTGAATATTAAAGAGACCTTCGCAGGGATGAATACTACTTAAGCGGTAAACCTACTGCAATTCATATATATGATTTTCATACACTCACAGTCATTTATTCTTCACTTTAAGGGTTTATTATGAACCAAAATAATGACTCGGTTGAATCATCAGCTCAATTGGTTGAGCACTGTACCAGTATCTAGGTGGTCATGAGTTAAAATCCTGTTCAGGCCTGAATTTTTTCAAGCCTTAATTCCACTACTGCTTATGTAGTGTTCAATACTGCGAAGATCGTGCTCATGTTCGTTTCTGAATTCGCAGTTCACATATATGATTTTCATAAATTTACGGCCGGGAGAAATCCCTTGGTTTGCTCGAAACCCTTGATAAATTTGTCTCTCCTGGTAAACCGACCATCACAAATTTCTCACGGGTTAGAAATTTGAACAATACTGAATAAAAACGTTCCTACAAAATTTTAGCTTGTAAACAAAACTTTGAAAATGTAGGAAGTGGCGTTTCCAACCGGATTTGAAGACCGAAAACTCCTTGGGAAAGGTAGGAGGATAATCAAAACAAACCCTTTATCGCTTAACGCCTCCACCTCTTGAATAAACCCTTCCGGGCGGCTAGTATGCCGGCTGATAATTTCCGCAGTTGAGAGAAGGCACAATTGTGAAATTTTGTGGACACTCTCAGACAAAGAAATTATCAACCGACATACTTGCAAGCCAGAAAGGGGTTTATTTATCTCAAAATCCTTTCATTTATTTTCATATCGCGAAAAAGCCAAGGGAGAAAAGAGGTTTGAAATTGTGAAAGTTAGAGTGGACTTTTTTTTAATGGAGGAGAATTGGGATATTTGAACCCAACTTAGGGTTAAAAACGAAATACAAAATAGCTCCAAAAAAATCATAATAAAAGTAGGAATAAATACAAAAAAAAATTAAAGTAAAATAAAATATAACTTTCTGAATTTTTCCCTCATTTGGTTATTCCTCGATTGCTGTAATCGAAAACCCCATGGAAATTTAATCGAACACAAAGTTATTTTTATTAAAAAATATTGTATAAAAATAAATCCACAAAATATTTTTAACAAAGTGGCTGTTTACAAGAAGCCGCGCATTTTAGAAATATGTCCACCACTTAATTATTGTCGTAAGTGTTTGTCACGCCACATCATTGTAAAGAAAGGTTACAGGATGGCGTGACAGTTGTTGGTGAACTAGCGCCACTATCAATATTCAATTTCCGGCGGTATTTCATATCATGCTTGGGTGTGTTCACACGATTGTGAATTAAAAAACGTTCTGGCCGCACTACGGAGACGTGCGGCGTGGGAAATGGCTTCCAACAAATAATTTATCTCTACACGTGTCAATAGGTCCATTTGTGTGCACATGTTGAGTTGTTAGTGAAAAATGGAACATTTGAGTAGAAAATTATCATTTTGCCTTTACATAGCTTTGTTGTCTTTTACATGTTTTCCTGTTCAAATGGTTGTTTGCTTTTTTGTTTTGTTGTGTATGTTTTTCACCAATAACTGATTGTCCGTCTTCTTCCAAACGAAAGGGAGATTTCGGACGAATTCTGTCGAATTCTGTCAAGGTAATAAGCAGAGTAGTTATTAAATCTAACCAACTCAGACAAGTGATAAATATTAACTAATACAATAAGGTTGGAGTCTACTTCCTCTTTGCTATTTTGTTCTAAAATGCAAGCCATGGCAGATTGAAGTCTGAACTACTTGAGGCTCTTGTACTTTTGGAACAAGCAGTAAAGGATTCTTAATGTGGACTTGAGATCCTTATGAACGACATCTGCAAGGCAAAGCGTCACGCAAAGTGAGACTATGGAAAAATTCAGGGTCAGAGGGGGAGGGGGTGGGGAAGGTAAGCACCACAAGTATTATTGTCTTCGGTAATGGACTCCTGCAGAGTGTTTAACAATTTGTCCATACCTTCAGGCTTGGCATAGAACTTCAATCCACTGTCTCTCATCAGATCAATAGCTAAGGTTACATTATGGAGCTGTGGATAGAAACACAACAATGGAATCTATGTATTTCAATAAAGGGGATAAGTTTCTAAAGAAACTGAGGTGCTGCGTCGTTGGTAGACTATCACCACAGTCGGCCGAAGCTCCAGCTGTGAGATGATCATCTTGCGAAATAAGAGCCATGACGAAATTTTAAGAGTTTTAAGAGTTTTAAAAATACCTCACCTTGCCTCCATTAAAAGTATTACTTACTTATCCATTTCTGGGTTTATTACTTCTCCTTCTCTTATGAGTAGTAAACCTAGAGATGGATAACTCGCCAAAATGGGTTCTTTTCAATATAGTCAGCGGTCAGATAACAACCGATGCTTTGTGGAAGGCGAGGTATTTTTATTGAGAATTTGACTGTATTTTTATTCCTAGGAGCGGTCGTAAATATCCCCATACAAACCCATACATATAATTTTGCCATGACTCTTATTTATTTCCACAACTGGAGCTTGGGCCGCCTGTGGTATAAAAGTATAATCCACTGAGTTGATCACGTAAATTGGCCACTTTAGTCAGCTTTGACACTCTGCGGTATTTGATACCCCTCGTATTTCAGTGCCAGGATCACTTAACCCCTAAACCCCCGGAGTGACAGGTTCTAATTTTTCCCCACATTGTCACCCCTAAATCACACATTAAGGTCACAAGATTGAAGGAAATTATTACCAACTAAAAAAAATTCACGATTCCCCTTGTTGGAACCTTTGGAAACGTGTAGAGAACAAAATGAAGAATATGCATACTGATGTTATGGCGTAAAGGGGCAAGATCACTGTAAGAACCCCACCAATTAAAGTGAAATTACTAGGAAGAGCGAAGAACTGCTTAGACCAGAAACGGTGTCTCTTGTGCCTAAAACAGCATGATAAATAAATGTAAAGCGGTCCCCACAGAACTTGTGACAGGAAACACGTATGACTTAAAACGGAATAAACCCTTTAACTTCTAAGTGTGACAAGCATCTAATATCTCCTTACAATATCACTCTTGAGTCAAACATTTAGGTCATGAGAATAAAGGAAATGATCACCAACTGAATAAGGTGAATTCTACGCGAATTTTGATTGGTTCTCACAGACGCATAAATGACATCATCCTCCCCTCCCCCCTCCCCCCCATGTTTTGCTTCTTTATCATATGAAACAAATATAATCCCCGTTACCGTGCGTCTGTACAATAATAGATCACAGATTACGTTAAAATGTGGTGAGAATGTCAGTAACATCGTGTGCAACTGCCAAATTTTAACATCATCTGAGTTCTACTAGTGAACAGATGCAAGGCAACATGGAATCTGTTTGTTAACCTTTAACTCCCAAGATCTGATTGTCAATTCTCCCCTTCAGCTGCTACACATTTCCTTGTGAATTAGTTTTGAGAATTTGTTGTAAGATCAAGGCAACTAGTTCTACCTGATGAGTTTGAGTATTCTCATATCCTTTTTGCTGAAAAATGTACAGATACTTAAGGAGGAAGTTACAAGTAAGTCACTTCTGAGAACTAAAGGGTTAATTGTACAATTTTTTCGTCTTCGATGTTAGCTCTGTACCTTCTGATCTTTGGTTGCAGGAGTAATGTAAAACTGATAGAGTGGAACGAAGAAGCCCTCCAGAAGTCCCAACAAGAAGATGAGGTAGACACCATCGTGAAACTGCAAACACAACAAATGCAACTTTAGTCGTTTCGGGGTGAAACTACATTTTTATGTTGCACGGGTACCCGTACCTCATCATTTATCAAGACGTTCATTTTGTCATTTGTAAAGGCTGCAACATTAGTTACGCAATCGCTTTACTTTATACGCGCACCCGTACTTCATCAATTATCAAGACGTTCATTTTATCATTTGTAAAGGCTGCAACAGTAGTCACGCAATCGTTTCTCTGAACCACGCAACTTCATGCTCACGGAGAAAGAAGGTCCCCCAGGAAGTTTTCAGAACTTCTTCCCTAAGCGGCTGCCGATGACGTAATAGGCGGCTGTGCCTAGAAAACGGCCCAAAAGGCGAAATCCAAACACGACAGCTTGCTCGTAGGCTAAACAGACGGCGATGAGCCAAAACATGCGGTGGTAAAACGGCGGTAACTGGCTTTTCACTGAAAACCTCTAAGTTCCTGAAAATGCTAATTCTTTTTTTTTCTCTTAACAATCGCTTAAAAACTCAAGCTTGAGTTATGTGCCCTACGATCAACAAAAGTGTTTAAGTACCTGAGAATCAATATCAACAACTTCTAGACTCAACTTGGCCAGGTGCTTGTTGACAAAGACTTGCAATGACTGCAAAAAAAAAAAAGCAAAACAAAATGGAAAAAAACGTTAGTTTAATTTTGACCAAAATTGGCGTGTAACAGTGAGCTTAAGTCTGTAATCGAACTAAGTGACCCACCCATCCGGAGCTTATCGCGGCTTCCACAGCATACAGCGACTAAGAGTATCACTACCCTTCCTTAGATGGGATGCCAGTTCGTTGCAAGGTTACCCTCCAGCATTTTATCAGGCTTCCCTGAAAATTCGCCGGTACTTATAAGACTCCTGGGTGGAGAGGGGCACTGTGAAAGTAAGGTGTTCCACCCAAAAACGCAACCAGGCCACGATCACGAATCGCGCGACCCTGAGTCCAGCTTACCAATGATAAGGCCACCGCGTCCCCGCGCACAAAAATTCATATTCCTGTTACCTGAGCACCTATATTAACCTCTTCGGCTTGAAAACCTCAGAAGCATTGAGTATTAAATTTTTAACTCAGTTATTCTCGCGCACTGAATTTCCATTGTCTGCTCAGTGAATGATTTAAACCCGTGAGTACTAGTCAACCGAGTGATGTGATCGCCCAGGAAAAGTTGACTGTGATCAATGCCAGTGACCGAGATTTCGATGACCTAAACAGCAATCAAATCTCAGATGATGACTTCCATTCAAGATGTCGCAGCGTTTGTCAATATCACCGACTTAAGTCTCTTTCAGGAATACCGTCGCCTAAAAGGAACCGGGAAATAGCCGCCCAATATTCTGATTTCTGTACATGATGTCTTGAATATAATTCTCTGATAATTCTCTGATGCACTCTTCTTGCTTTAGTAATGTGGAAACTGATATGCTCATTTGAATCTCTTACTTAGATTGAACTGCATACAGTAATATCAAGTACAGTACCTTTTTCACAACATTCAGCTTTTCAGGGGCATTGTCAAAAAGCGCGTCGAAGGCATCTCTTTCTATATTTATAACAGAGAGCAAAACAAGGAAGGCGAAGTGAATTACGCATAAACAAATATAAAAGTTAAGAGAAAGTTAGTTCATGACAACAAACAAAAGCTGTACAGAAAAAGTAAAACGGCTAGAGTTAAGGTGAAATATCTCCTGTAATTGCACGTCCTTTTCTGTGCCATATTTTAGCTCGAGAGATTGGAGCGAGCGAGCGTGCGTGCGTGCGAGAGGTGTACTTTATTGCTCGTGAGGTGGCTCCAAAAAAAAAAATACTCTTCAGCGCAGAATACAAGTACTAATACATTACACCACTCTCTTTTGGGCGCTCGATGAAAATAAGGGCGGTTGAGCAGCGAAAACAAGCAGCGAAGGTTCGGGTGGAAAAACTACCTACTACTTTCCGTTCCAAACTACTCACTCCACCTCCGCTGGACGCTTCGAAACGCACAGAAAACCCCCAGCAACAAAGACCAATTGTAGGTCAGGGAAATTTAAAGGCTTTGTTATGCTGTTTACCAGAGTAGCATGTCTACTCAAGCCATAAAATGAACCTTAACGTATAAATCGCACTGTAAGTGTAATGAACTTGCTTGGCGCAGAACATGAGAAAAAAATTAACGCAAAAAAAACTGCTGTAAAAATTATCTACAGAGAAAATTTTCCTTACCTGGTTTACCGTTCTGTACACTGAAGAAAGGAAAGGAAGAAGAAAAAGAAACATTTTAAAAGGAATATTAACAGGAATTCAGGTTTCAGTGAGGGAGTAGCACATTCTCCGCACCCCTGGTGTTATAGTTAGTATACGTTTCGACCCATCACCTAGCATGTTCCAGACGTTCAATAACGACAACAGGGCGAAATAGTAAACGGCGAGTTAGAAGCGGCGGAGTTAAAAAGTGAAGGCAGTTTGAGTTAAGCTAACACTCGTTTCTTAACTCCTCTGCTGGCGCCGTTCACTATCGTGCCTGGAACAGGTTTCCCCTGGCCGTACTACGCACAAGTTACTCGGATGGAGTTATTAGACTCCACCTTGCAAACACAAATTATTCATCTTCCTCCGCTCAACTGAGCTAAAATTCTCCAACCCTCTTAACCCATTGACGACGCTTTCAACTTTTCGATCCTAGTAACATAGAGCACGCTTGTCACACATGACTAACCAATATAAGGCGTATGGCTTAACCCTTTATCTCCCAAGATCTCATTAGTAATTCTCCTTACTGTCTGCCATATCGTTCTTGTGATGTTAGTTTGGAGAATATAACTGATATTTTTCTTTCTCGTCACTTCTCTGCTTGATATTGATATTGATATTGATATTGTATTGATATTGTAAGGAGAAATTCTGTCTTGGTCACTCATGAGAGTTAAAGGGTTAACGAAACATCCAGTTCTGTGTAGCTTACCAGAAAACCAGACCACGACATCCAAAGATCTACAGGTAGCTGTTTCTCTTTTTAGATTTTTTTTGCCATGATTGTAACAAATGAAATGGAATTTCTGGCGTTCAAGTGTTGACGAATTAGCCGGAAAATATAAATTTTAAATAAAAAAATTAATATATCTGCGGCACGAGAGCAACAGGGCGTTGGCCCAGGCCCTTTCGTGAAGGTACCTAGAATGATAATCCTGCGTTTGCACGCGGGTAATCATTCTAGGCCGACACCAATTTCTCGCATTTCGTAGTTTTTTTCATGTATATAACCTAGTAAGATGGCTTTATGAGCTTGGGCCCAGTTCCTACCCAGATTTCCCGTCTGTTCTTCCCCTACAGGGTTTTTTTCCGACACGTTTTCTCTGGCCGCCCCTCATACCATAATGTTTGCCAGTGGTTGCTCAGCTCTCGATTTGTTTGATTTGAATGAGCTGGAATTGCGATAATTGTCAGTTTGATGATTTTTTTACTAAACATGGGATGTAAATGTGTTACTTTCTGATATTCTATACGCTAGCACTCAGCCGCACCGTCCGTGGTTCAATATTTGAGTAGTCTGTCACGCTGTGAAGCCAAAATTAACATTTCCCTCTAAGCGAAAACTGAAGATGAAATTTACTCATACTGGACATCTCTGATCCCAGCCGTAAACGGGGCGCTTGCAATAGTTAACCCTTTACACCCTAATATCAGTAAGTATATTCTCCAAACTATTCTCCAAACAATTCCTAAGGTGCTGACAAGGAGAATTTGTTAACCAATCAAGAGCATCTTTAGGTGATGATCATATCCTTCATTCTCGTGACCTCAATGTTTGATTCAGGGGTGATCGTGTAAAGAGAAATTAGATGCTATATTAGATAACGAGTTCTCTGGAGCTAAGTGGAAGAACAGGGGACCACACAACTTGAAGGCCCAACTTTCAAATCCCACTGAGGATTTCTAAGTTTTTGTATGTCCCACCCTTGAAACAAATCAATAAGATTACCCCCCATCACAACTTACTCTTCGCCTTCATTAGGTGCTGTAATTTCCTCCACAATTCTGTTCGGCAGCAGGATTCCTCCCTTTTTCTGTACCACCACCATATTTATTCGGACACCTCCAGGAAGTTTGCGAGGACACTGGAAGTGGTGAGCCAAGGCAACCAACAGATGAAGTATAGCCACAATATCCTTACCATGAATAGCTGTGGAAAAAAAAGGAAAAAAAGGACATACTAGGAACATTTTTGGATGATTTGAGGCATTGGTTTGAGCATATTAAAAATTTGAAACTAGACTTTTCAAGTCAACCCTCAGTTTCGCTCCTAAGAACTCATTAATAGTTCTCCTTTCTGTGCGCAACACAATTCTTATTAAGTTAATTCTGAGAAGTTAGTATTGGAACAGCTAGTATGTTTTTCTTCAATCTCATCACTTGACTGCTTGATATTGTATTGATATTGAAAGAAGAAATTCCGTCTTGGTCAGTAATGGGAGTTAAAGGGCTAATCTCTAGCAATCCCTGTTAAACTTCTGCATCCTGAACCATCTTAGTGGTTATGGTACAAGTTGTGACCCTTTCATTCCTATGATCTAAACACAAATTCTCCACACTGTTTTCAACACATTTCTAATAATTTTGGGGATGAGAAGTTGGTCCTCAATCAAACAATAACCCTAATGGATATTTTTTTCTTTCTTTTCATTAAATCTCTCTACCTGAAAGAAGTGCCAAACAGATACTTTTCATAATTTTTACAAACTTACCATTTGCTGACCATTTTGCTCTATGCTGGGGGACTCCTAGCAGTTTGTTCACATGCTCCAACAAAATAGACAGTTTGGCTTTCTACAGGATGAAAATCAGTTATGTTGGAAGTTTAGTAGTACACAGATCAAGTGACTGCTCAATATTTATGTGCAACACATTCACAGTCTGCCTAAAGGTAGATTACATTATCCCATCAGACTAGCTTTTTGGTTAGATGCAGAATACACAGCATTTGTATGGAATACCAAAGTTAGCTTGCAATTGCACCTTATTCACAGTTTCAGCACAAGTGTTTTTTTTGCCTAAGGGGAAAGTATCAGGCCCTGAAAAACGCAAGACATTGGGTCTAGCACATTATTGGCAGACCCCTGGCAAAAATCTACCTGACCTCTCTCAAATTTTCCCGCAAGTGGAGAAACACATGACCTGCAGCACAAATAATGAGGGCCTGCTCATATATATAAGCTACGCCAAAATATGCAAGTCCTGTCTGAATAAGTTAAGATATTGGAAGTGGGGAAGGAGTGGCCCTCTAATTAGAACTGGGTGGGATGGAAACCCTTGGAATATACCTAGTACTTTATTATTGCCAAATTTCAGAATTGCCAATTTTTGTTTTTATTATGTTTGTTTTTTCACACATTACCTACCTGGCTCTCCACTGACTGAGTAACCTCTTCAAACTCAGAGAGCTTGATCCCTGCAAGTTTATCTAACAACAACAAAAAATGCCAACATCATTGAATAAACAAATAATTTTAATCATATAACAAAGCAGCAATTTAAAAGCTCCCTATGAAGAGCTAATAATTGCACCACAGTGAGATTTAGACAAGTATACAGCATAAAGCAAAGCTACAATGCACACCACAAAAATAAATTTGTATATAGTTGCAAACAAGAGTACATTCTAAGCTAGTGACAGACCCATACGAACGGCAAGTATTTGACCATCATTCAAGTCCTCTGTGATGTCCCTGAGGACAGTTTGCAGTTCTGAAGCTTCACCATGAAAATAAATTCATATGTAGGTGCAAACATGAGTACATTCTATGCTGATAACATACCCATAAGAACCGCAAGAATTTGACCATCATACAAGTCCTCTGTTATGTCTCTGAGGACAATTCGTTGTTCTGAAAGTTCGTCATTAATCCAGTCTAGCAGCACCTAGCGGGCATAAAAAGGGGCTCATGACGGAATTGCATGGGAGAAAGACTTCATTGACCTCTGATAAAGTAATAGATTCTCCTTACAAATTGCAGTAAGACAGGAATTAAGCATGACATTAAACATCAGGAGACAGTGAGGGTTTTATCTGGTGTATAAATAGAAAGAAATACTCTTGATATAACCCGGCACAAAATCCAAAAGGTGTCAAACTTGACACCCCACGTGATTTACCAAGTAACAAAATTCCAGCTCAATTTCTGTGCTAATAGGAGCATGTACGAATGCATGTGATTGGACAGTGATATTGGACAGTGTATGTGTAACGCCTGTGTGTAACTGGACTGCTGTTGTCATGCTATTTGCTGATATAAATGTGGTTTTTCATGAAAACAATAACTAGCCTACTTCTCATAGTATTAATTAATTGATAACAGGACTTTGTACAGCCCAATTCTAACTATACTCATATTTATAATTGACAAATCTGGCTCACGCTTCATTAATCCCTAAAATGATTACAAACTGAATTGGACTCCACTCAGTCCTATAATATCATTTACTGTTTGTGTATAACTGTAGTATAATCCAGTATCGTTGCTGGTCATGTCATGTGTATTTATTTGTCACGACAGCCAGCTTCTGTCCTAACATCAAAATCATTTCACAAATAAAAATTTCATCATTGTTTTTAGTTACCTCTTTCAATTCCTTGAGCTTTTTATTTTCAAGTGAAGCAGGCTCCACCATTGATCGTTCTTCATTTTCATCTAAGTGCAAAATTTGAGAAAAAAAAACATACTTTGAAAAATTTATCCATGCCAAGAATCACACAACACACACAAAGAAAAAGTGATTGCATCTGACTGTTAGCCCTGCACCTCACAAGATCTGATTATTAATTCTTTCCTCAGAAACTACTACTACACCTTTCCTTGTTATTTGGTGTTAAATTAAAATTAAAAATGTCTACCTGATAAGTTTGAGTATTCTCAATACCTGTCTGCTAGATAATGTGTGGATATTACAGGGAGACTTTACATGTTAATCACTACTGGGAGTTTAGGGGTTAAGATGACTGTGTTGACTAATAAATACATAAACAAGCCACAAACCTAGATCAAAAGTGTCTGGAGTCACAGTGATAGGTGTTGTTGGAGATTCAATGGCATGCCTTCCCTCTGTCTCAAGTTCATCAACTGTAAGAATAAACCAAATTTGTTAACGTACAATTACATCAAAATTAAAAGAATCGTCTACCACGAAAGTGTAGACGAGAAAAAAAAATTATGGGTGTCATTGCACCACTCTAAAACTAAAGCATGAAGCCTCTAACTACTCAAAACAAATCTCTACAAAGATAGATCTCTCAGAGCTATCGAAACTACCATATTTTGATAAATCTGTGAAATTATTTACGAGTGTAAGTTTAGAGGTTACAATAAAAAGAGGAGATTCCCTGACATGAAAGCACACCTGCAGAAAATTATTTCATCGAAATTTAAATCCGAAATTTAACAGCTAAATCGGAAAATATGTTTCTCTCTGAATTACCTCAGTATATCGAAAAAATACACGATCGATACTTTGCGTGGAAACAGGAAAGGGTGTGTTAAAATGCTGGAATTCACAATGGAATTTACAAAAATCGATCGAATGTTTTCTTCACAGACAGCCAATGTATTTCTGAAGTGAAAATTGAATTTTAAAGGTAGAATCCCCGCAAAAATTGCTGGAGATTCCTCATTGAGTTTTTCAAGGGAGACCAGACGGTTCACAGAAGCATAACAAAGAACCAAATTGAAAATGAACAAGGCACTTCACATCTGATTTGAACTGTCAAGATCCGTCGATCGTAGAGGTTTGAATAATTCAAGAGAAAATTCTTGATCACAGAAGCCTACCTTCTTGGCCTTTTTTCCTTCGAGTGAGTGTTCCAACCCAACCAAGTTTGCCAGAGTCTTTCTTCGAGGCGTCCCTTTTTAACGTGCCAGTTGGCGAACTGGGGTAGACCGGAGAAGACGCCATGTTTGTGATTACTTCTTAGTCTCCCACAAACCCTCTGGGAGAAAAAGAGCTGCTCAAATAAGAGTCATTTTGATTGGTTAAAATTTGTTAAGATCAGAACCAATAGTATCACTTTTTATATCACAATCGGCACAAGTTTGTTTGATTGAACAGATGACGAAAGAGCTAAACCAACATCAAGAAATTGGCTGGATCATTTGAGAGGTGACGTGGAGGGGATGAGAGATGGGATTAGGGTTAAAGCGAAGCACAAATGAATCAAGTACCTAGATTTTCTGCAATAGATTATCAAAACAAATAATTAAAGAGAAAATGAAGGGATTGAAGTTTAGGTTCTTGGGTATGTCATAAATAACACTGACATCGCTTCACGTCAGTTTTCAACTTAGCAAGTTGAATCACGTCAATTGCTACTCTTTCTTACAGGACTTTTATTGGAAGCAAAATCACATCAAGGTAAATTTCAGAATGGCATGGATTTATGAACTGTGTTTGTAGCTGTCATAATTTTAAAATCTTATTGCGTTAAATTTAAAACACCCACTCTTGCGTAACCCACACAGCACTTGTGTGCAGGAAGCGTTAAACCAATTTTGTATTTTTAAGCAAGAGTTTTTACAAAATCTCTTGTTTTAAGTTATATATTGAACATTCTATTTACATTCGTTTTTTGCTTCTTATATAAGTTTTTAAACTTTTACAGTCTTCACCCCTTTGACAACCGATTTGATTTACATTTGTATTTGGATGTGCATGATTCACTTTTGTGGTTATATTTTAAGGGTGATGCAAAGAAAGCCAGAGTTGTTACAAATAGAGCGTTATTACCGATTTTTTGCGGATTTTTACACGATATTCCTTTAAGTGAAAGGTAGATTAAAAGTCTGTGTTTCAATCTTCAGGCTGCGTCTTTTTTGAGTTAAATTCCATTCGTTTGAGAGCTCCAAGCTAGTCTTCCTTGGGTAGGGAAAGCCTGATGTCATTGTTAAAACATATAGTTACAGTAGGAAACGTGTCCGGTCTTCATTACCGGAATATGATAATGCATGGGTTTCAACCCAGAACTTTGCTTAGGGTTAGTACTTCCAACCATGAGCGCGTCGATCATCCTTTGAAATGCTGCACTTTAAAAATCTATCACTCGAGGAAAAAAGTCATCTCGTCCAACTATGAAAAGCAGATAGTATTGTGTAGCTGAGAGGACGAATACTTGGGTGAAGCACAATGATAGTCACAGGTCTATGTCGGTGATAGTTGGCCCCCTTGGAGGAAAGGTGCTGAAATTTGCCGACAACTTCATATTCGTGACAGATGTTGTAAGATATTTTAGGTAACACGATGTGGGCTACGGCGTGATGCCCTGATCAGGTTGTCGTGTTATTTTGAGGGGTCAAGACACCAAATACCCACCATGCTTCTTCTATATGTAGGAATATAAATAAGCCACTGGAAAACAGTTGGGGAAGCTTAAAAATCTTGGCTGATGGGAAAGTGATGGAATGGCATGCTATCCAGGGGGGAAGAAACATTACATGCTTCGCTTCATGCTAAAGGAAATCAGCGCTGACAAGGTTCGACAAGCAGAGCCACAAAACTCCTAAGCTGACTCCCGAGTCTGTAAGCTGACTTTGCATCATGAAGGTGACAATGGCACTAAGTAGGCTTCAACTAGTCCAAAAGTCTAAAGAAATGTCAAATTCTCGTTCAATCGTTTGCAATATTTCGGTTGATTTATGCCAAGCTTGTGATCTGTACCCTGGGGCCGTGTCTTCGACAATCGCTGGAATAGTCCGCGTCAAACGTTTCGGAGCAGCGACATACTTTCATGCAAAACATGTTGTTAAAAATCTCTCTGTATTGTCGTCTGAAATACTTATTTGTGGCTCCATAAATGAACGGGTTGATTGTACTGCTCAGATAGACCAAGAAACCGTATGTAAGGTAAGCTTGTCTGGGCAGAGTGGGTTCGCCGTAGGCTGCATCAGTGTAGTCGATGATGCACACTGGAAGCCAACAACAAGCAAAACCAGCCATCACTGCTGCTAAAGTTTTGGTGACTTTTGCTTCTTCGACGTTAGCTCTTAGCACCTGGGGGTTATTTTCCAATGAGAAAACTTGATTGGATCGTGACACCGTGTAGAACACTTTTGCATAGCAGACTATTATTAATGTCAAAGGTGTCGCGACGTAGACGCATTCGATGAATACGGTGTAGGCTATGTTGGTGTCGAATGTGTACAAACACATGGCCTTGCCTGGTTGGAATTCGAACCCACCATGACTGAATAGAAAGGGTGGAACGGAACCAATGAAAGCGGTACACCAGACAACACCGATGTAGAGCAGAATTCTTTGCTTTTTAAATAACACGATGTACCTCTCAGGTTTTACGATGCAGAAATATCGACTTACAGCAATTAATCCCATGGTGTGCAAAGATGCCAGTCCAAATGTAAACACTCCGAACCCATGGAACCGGCAAAAGCTGTCACCAAAGATCCACTGGCCTCGAATCAAAGTAACAACAGAAAACGGCATACAAAAGGTTGACATAAGAATATCACTCACAGCCAACGCGACGACGAACATATTGGAAAGTGTGCGGAGTCTTTGGTTTCGGTAGACCGCGTAACAGACTGACAGATTTCCAAGGAAAGCTGCGACATTTATAATGCTAAACATTACTGTTTCAATCCAGAGCAGATGGTTACCTCTTTTGGCAAGTTCGTGAGAAAGCGATTCGAGTAAATCCATGATGAGGCAAGAACATAGAATGAGCAACGTTTGACAACAATTAAAACAAATGAAATTGTTTGCCGCAGATAATTTTAAACCTGGCGTTCAGCACTAAGTATCCAGTGTGCAATCATTAGAGTCACACTGTAGTTTGCTAGGAGTCTATTTGGTGTTCTAGATTTAAATTGGCCTCAAATGTAGCTGTGCATCGAATCAGTGGTTCTTTAACCACCAACAAATCGTGAGAAAATGTTATAAGCAATATAGCACCTGCTTGGCACCTTCAGAAAATTAAGTACCTCCACTGTGCTACGCCAACACTCCGTGGAGATTTTAAAAGAAAAAGAAAATGATTTGGCAGTGAACTTGTCAGCTTGAAGGAAATAAAACTGTCAAACAGTTGTCGGTACTCATTTGTGATATTGTCTTTTTGGCGGCCCACCCTATCATGAAAAGCTTACAAATGACGGTGCTTCAGTATAACTTACAGCTAACGAAAAACAATTATAACCGTCTTTTTATATATGCAAATCGAACCTTAAGCGAATTTATTTACAAAGTAAATATATCACTCAATCGCACACGCACTTGTCGTCCCCGAAATGTCTTCCCCTCAAATGTTGTTCAATTAAAGATCTTTTTCAGTTCCAACTTAGAGGACCTCTGAAAGTTTACACCGGTGTCACGGAGGTGCGCAGAAGTTTGGTAATAATTAAGTCCCGATTTAGCAATATAATCAGGCTGAACCTGTTGGCAATACATAATATTTGTACTATCCATTTAGGTTTCTCAAACATATGATTATTCCCTTTTCATTTCTGAACGTATTTCGTCAATTGTAAACAACACTTACCGTTTCACTGAGATTTGCATATATAAACTTTGCGCTAGAGCTTGGCCAACAACAAAACTTGAATAATATTTCAAAATGTAATCATGGGTATCAATGGATCAAATTAAAGGCGCGATACACCGGAAACAAGAATTCAAACACATTTCGTTTATATTTTGATTAAAAAAAGAGAAGGAAAACGGAAAAAAATGAAGTGTGGAAAAGGCCAGCGCGATGTGAGATAATGTTTCATGATGCTCTACATGCAAAATACACAAGTGTAAATATTCCGTGTAATATTCCTTTTCAGAAAAGCTTATACACGCTATATCACATAGTCAGTAAATTTCTTATGTTGTTCCTGTTTCACCTCATGATTACGATACTGGAAAATGTCGAATGGAAACAAGAGTTCTAACACGTTTGATTAAGAGGGAAGGGCGGAGGAAGAGAAGAACAAATCATGCAGGTGATCTGATCAAGCTAAATCACAAAGTGAAATGCTCTTTTTCCTACAATCGTTGCCTTTTGCTTTTTTTTTAACTACAGGATATGTTTGCGGTTAAATGAAGTTTATTTCGGGCAAGAAAAATATCGAAGGCAAGTTGTTTTCTTCTAATTTGATTAAATGAAGTTAATGAAATTATAGAAAATCTGTAAACCTGTCAGAGGGTAAGTTGCGAAGCTGGCAGCTTCGAGTGTCCTGTACGACTTTGCATGCGTATATTGTGGGTGGATTGTGTCAAAATGAGTAGTACCTAAGTAAATGACTCACCATTAAATGGCTCTCCAAACTGGATTGGCTCACAAATTAGATTGCCCACTATTGAGTGGCTCACTTTTAAAATGGATGGCTCACTACCAAATATTGGATGGTTCACATTAAATGGCTCACCAAATTGAATGGCTCACAAATTGGATTGCCCACTATTGAGTGGCTCACTTTTAAAATGGATGGCTCACTACCAAATATTGGATGGCTCACTATTAAATGGCTCACCAAATTGAATGGCTCACAAATTGGATTGCCCACTATTGAGTGGCTCACTTTTAAAATGGATGGCTCACTACCAAATATTGGATGGCTCACCATTAAATGGCTCACCAAATTGAATGGCTCACAAATTGGATTGCCCACTATTGAGTGGCTCACTTTTAAAATGGATGGCTCACTACCAAATATTGGATGGCTCACTATTAAATGGCTCACTAAATTGAATGGCTCTCCAAACTGAATGACTCACAAATTAGCTGGCTCACTATTGAATGGCTCACTTTTAAACTTGATGGCTCACTACCAAATGTTGGATGGTTCACTTTCAAATGGCTGACCAATTTGAGTGGCTGACACACTGGATTGCCCAATACCAAATATTGGATGGCTTACTTCCAGATATTGGATAACTTTCACTATTGAATGGCTCATCGCACATTGAGTGTTGGGCCGAACGCGAGGAGCCTATTGTATAATCGGCGCCAGTCTCTTGCCGGCGAAATTTTCTAAGTGCCGCCCTCGCTGTGAGCGGTCCCTTCGACTTCCCGTCGAAAAAAAGTTCACTCGTATATTTTTCCCATGATAATGGACTATTAAAACTGTTTGAAAATTCTGGAAATGGTCAAAATTCCATATTTTGATCCTCCTGCAGAAAGGAGGGCCAGTGCATTAAGCGAAAATCATCGAAGAGGCGCCTTGGGATCACCTTTGTTTGCTTTGTAAGTTATGCAAGCCTACGACTTATCACGTTTATGCAATGTTTTAGAACAGCTAGGGATCTATTTTTCATCCAAAACCTCACGAGTATGATTACAGACCGAAATGGACTCCACCCGGTCCTATTACTATTGTAAACTATGCAATGATATGCTTTTTTTTGGCCCAATTTACCGCTTTCCTTTTCGATGATTCTTTCCTACAAATTGGTTAGTTTTTGATATACAAATAAAGGTCGAAGAAAAGGCTCTCCTCTGATGACACTAGTATGAATAAGGTTTCAGGTGAATTTTTCATATTTTGTCTGTAAACTGACTGAATACATCTTGTAACTAGCAGCAAGAGAGTATTCCGTGACCTATATGAATGCAGTCGCAGCGCGCTCGATAAAATCTGTGAAATTAACATCTTCGATTGCTGTCCACACGGATGGTCTAGTCAAAAATCAATTTTGGCTTGTGGTGACTAAGTTTAAAACACGTGTCCTAAACCCTTTTCAGAGGCAAAATATGAAAAAAACCTTTTTTGGACAAGAAGTCGAGGGGACTGCTATTAGCAAGAACGCCGGTTAAAAAAAATATGGCCTGCGATAGGCTGGCGCTAAGTATATATCAGGTTCCTTGTGTTAGACCCAGCATTTCGATTGCTGTCCACACGGATGGTCTAGTCAAAAATCAATTTTGGCATGTGGTGACTAAGTTTAAAACACGTGTCCCAAACCCTTTTCAGAGACAAAATATGAAAGAAAACCTTTTTTTGGACAGGAAGTAGAGGGGACCGCTATTAGCAATAACGCCGCTTAAAAAATATGGCCTGCGAGAGGCTGGCGCCAAGTATAGATCAGGTTCCTTGTGTTAGACCCAGCATTTAATACGCGGTGAGCCATTCATTCCATCCAATAGTAAGCCATCCAATTTGGTAGAAACCCATCAATTTAAAGTATTCAATTTAGTACTGTTAATTTTGACACAAGCCATCCCCATAAAGTTATCTTCAACAAATGTTTGTGATTCGAGATGATCGACATTTCTTGCTGAACAATAACTAATTCTAAGGCAGGAAACGCGTACCATTCTTAACACATTCGTTACAAAAATACTTTTCTGCTCTTTTGAATACGTTTTTTGTGTGCAATCTTTGATACTTTTTTGCTTTGTGTGGACATTTCATTGTCTCTTATTAGTTTTTGAGATAGTGGCCGTGTTCGTTCCGTCAAGATGGCTTGATATCAGCCTCGTTGTTTTTATGCTGTTATCGATCAGGACGAAATTTGAAAATATTTGGCCCTTTTACGCCTGTGGTGTGGGGGGAAAAGCAAAGTGTTGTTGGGTGATTTGAAAAGACAAGCATCCAGTGATCGACATTAACGTTTTACATGCTTTTATTTCATTTAGTCCAAACGATTACAGTTTCAACTCGCTTACTGAGGGCTAAATAGCCTCCTGTCATATGGAAATGACTTCTCACTGTGAAAACAAAATGAAAGATGAGAGTCAGGTAACATAAACGTAACTTGTAAAACGAAGCTATCGATGACTAAATATCTCAAACTAAAAGCGATTAGACCACTCGCTTATACCCGCTTATACCCGCTTCCCGCTACGTTTGTCGTTGTTTTGATTTTACAATAGTTCCTTTTCATATGTTCCATTTTTTATGACTGGCTAATGATTCTGTTTCGATTTTTGTAATTGGTCTTTAAGGCTCGTGCAACCTAACTGCGCGGAAAAAAATCCTTGTGAGCTCTCATGGTTCTTTTGGATCTCTTCCATTGTCCTGATTGGCTAAAGTGATGGCTCTAGTTTGGTTGTACGGGACTCAGTCGAACCTCGCTTTAAACCGATTTGATCACTAAAGCTTGTTTTTTATGCAATCTGACGTTTATAGAAACCTTACCGCCGGCGGACAACAGATATCCAACGGATAAGGACAGACGTCACCTGTCGGGTACAAGTCATAAGGACACGGTGCTTACTGACAAGAGAATTGGCATGGCATTCGCTTCTCCTGATGGTGTGTTACTGCTGATAAACGAATAAGGGATGGATGGTTATTTTTTAATCTTAGTTATAGATTTTAAGATTATTCGAATACATCCAGTTGAGTCGGCTCTTGCTGAATCTTTTGAAAAGATGACGTGGCTTTACGAATAAAGAGGGATTTCTTAGACTACTGAGCCAGATAGAGGATTGGGCGATAATAATTGCTTGAAAACCATGCTATAGCAGAGATGAAAAAAGCTACGAGAATTTGACGTTCAACACATTTTCCTGAAGACAATGCTTCATCCACGGTGAGGAAAAAGGTTTTATAGGCGCTTACATACCCAAGCCGATATCGAAACTCCCTGTTTAAGCGAAGGTCGTCAGCGCAGAGGAATGTTTTTTTTTAGTATTTTTGTATTCCTAGCTCTCAACTTTTTGACTTGATCGAGCAATTTTTAATTGGGTGTCGAAATTAATCTGCAACTACTTTGGTTTTACTTCATTTTGCTCAGTGATTGGCCCAGAAAACTCGCGCCATCCTCTGAACCAA